TGCAGAACATAACAAGCACGCCGTTGGAACGGGAGAGACACACGGCTGGCGCTTGGCGCCCTCACCAGTGGTGGGCTTGCCTCTCAGCTCGAGCGGTGTTCAGTGAGAGCCCTCCTCCGAGGGGGGGCTTGTTCTAAGGCCCCCCCCAGCCCCTGTCACACAGCCAACCCACAGCGCCCTTCAAGGGCAGCAGCTTCCCGATTCCCCCTGAAGGGAGGGGAGATAAAGCAACCCGCCCGAGGTCGCACGGCCGGGCAGAGCAGGGAGCGATCAGAGCGACCCGGTCCGTTTCCGTCCTTGCACTCACGTTCAGAGGCGCAGAGGCTCACGCGGGAAAGCCCCACGGGGTCGTGGTGAGTGAGACGCGGGCATCGGGGGCGGGTCCTCGGACTTCAGGGGGCCGTTTCGGGGACCCACGTTTCCTGGTCCCTGTAGCTCATAAGCACGCCGCAGGTGGTACCAGAAACACCCTCCGGGACCTGCCAGGCAGCCTCTATCTTTATTTAGCTGGTGTTTCGGGAATCCGTGGTGCGGTGGTAAAAAAAGTAAAAACCAACAAACCCCACAGATTCCATCGATCCATTGGTGCTGGGGCTGGAATTCCAGCTCCTGGCTGGGTGAGACGCGTCCTCTGCCGCCTCTGGAATCGGAACTGGGCCCGAGCTGCTCGCGAGGCCGGACCCGAAGGAAAGCCCCGTCTAGCCCACTGGTGAGGGTGGTTTGGGTGAGGTGGGACCGCCTCCTCGAGGCAGAGTCACCCCACTTTCCTGCCTGCCCCCCCCCCCCCCGCAGATGCCGCCTGGACACGCCCGTCTGCCTGCGGTTCTCGGAAACTTTGAGAACGCGCGTGCCCGTTCATCTCGGGCTGAAGTGCAGGGGGAGCTGAAAGGCTGACTTCCCGTAAAGGCCCAGCCAGTGCGGCTGGCTTGCGGAGTGGGAGGTGGGGGCCGGGATTCAGTGGGCCCCCCGGGGGCCTCGGGCACCTCCTCGGCCATTGCCACTGCCCCCTGACGGGTGTGTCATCTCCCGTCCACCCCTCGGCTCCAAAGGCTCGTTTCGACGTGCAAACCCAACCCACCCATGTGACTCGTTGCTCTGGGAAAGGCTGAGTCCCTAGCAAGTTCACTGGCCTGCTTTCCTGTGGCCTCCCCTCAGCAGTTCTGACCTCCACCCCTGACCTCCACCCCTGACCTCCACCCCTGACCTCCAGCCTGCCTCGGGGCTCTCTCACACTCCGTTCCTGCTGCACGCGCCCCTCCCCCCACTCACCCCCTCCGCAGAGGTGACTCTTTCTGAGGCTTCTTCCCACGCCAGCTCCTGGGGGCGGTCAGGCCCCCCGGCAGAGCTCCGAGACCCCCGGACGCCGGGCGCTGGAGTGCTTGCTCGCCCCCGTCCACTCTGGACTCTGTAGGTTCTGGGGAGGACGAGCCTGTCCTGTTCACCCGCTGATGCCGCCCTGGAATGCGGTCACCCTTCCAGAAAGGTGTCCCAAGGGTGACTGACCCCCATGATCACAGCTGGGCCTGGCCTGACCGTCCCCCCACAAAGGCCCAGTGTTGTCACGCAGGTCACTGTCACGTATCTGCCTGCAGAGGCTGTAACTGACGGTCACCCTCTGGCCACAGCAGCCCACGGGAGGTCGTGGGGTCACTGGGTGAGCAGTCAGACTGGGAAGGTACAAGCGGGGCCCAGGGGTCTGCACTTGAACATGCCCCCCAGGCCCAAACCAGCCGACCCCGGAGTCTCCTCTCCAGTTCAAGACCTCTGGCTGTGCCCGCCCCGAATTCACTTCCTGTCGCTACTGTGACAGGAGACATTGGTGACAGCTCGCCTCCCTGGCCCTCTGTCACGGGCACGTCTGCTCTGACGCTGACCCCCACCGCCTCCCCGTACGGCCCCTAGTGGCAGCGTTCGGCTCCCCGCTGCTCCAGCCCGTTCCCGTCTCAAGATTCCCCGCTGAACACACCCGCCGAGTCCCCTTGCCACGCCGGATGCATAGTCACAGGTCCCAGGGTGAGCATGAGGACATTCTGGGGGGGTTTTATTCCACCCAGCCCCCGCCCCAGCCCCCACCCCAGCCCCCGCCCCACCGTGCCCTTCCCCTTTCCCCTCCCGCCCCTCCCACACCGCCTGCACCACCTGGGTCTAAAAGCCCCCTCATTTTCAGCCGTGGCGATCAAGTTGCAGACGAACTGGGTTTGAACCCTGGCCCTGCTGCTCCCAGGCCCTGCGGCCTCAGGCCTGGAACTTCAGCTCCGGTTCCCCCCGCCCCCCGCCCATCCCGCTGAGCTTTCTGATGCTGACCTTGGGGCTCTGGGAGGGTTAACTGAAGCCCGGGGTGCGAGGCCCCCCTCCCAGGGCCCGTGGGTGGACAGCACACGGCCGAGGGGGGCTACGCAGTCTTTATGTGCCGGGCCCCCCCGGCCCACTCTCTGCCCTGCTCTGGGGTCTGGAGGCCTGTCCTGCTTTTCAGCACAGCCGGGTCCCTCTGCAAGCGGTGGCTCCGGGAGCACACGCCAGGGCCCGGGACGCGGCAGACAGAGGCTGGGTTTCTCCGTCACGTGCTCTTCTGAGTTGAAGTCGGTCCAAGGATTGTTTATCCACACCCCCGAGCACACAGAGCTGAGTGTGGCAGGGTCCCTGTCCTCAGCGGACACCCCACAGTGCTGAGTAACAGCACCCAGGAAAACAGCACTTCAGACCGAAGTGGCAAGTGCCACGGCCCCTCAGAGAGATGAGTAAGGAGTTCTGGCTGAAGGGATGCACGCTGAGGAAGGAGGCAGGGCGTACTTTCTGCAGGGAGCTCTTTATATCCATCGATTGTATCCCTGTCCCAGGCACTGGGCCAGACTCCACCATCAGCAAGATCGCTGCTTGAACGGTTCAGAACAGCAAGGGCTTGGCCCCCTGTTCTTTCAGGCCGGAGCCTGGCACAGAGGGGGCTGGCAGCGGGGACTGGCGGATCCCAGGACGCCCGCTGTTCCCGGGTCGGGCCTGGTGGGAATTTAAACCCGCACCGCCAGTGGGCCTGACTGGGGCAGGGTGGCGGCTGCCCCAGCGCCCTCAGCAGGCACGAGCCCCCCGCCCACAGGAAAGTGGCTGTGACAAAGCACGGAGGCCATCCGCTGGGCTGCGCGGTGGTGGCGCTGTCACTTTTGAGATCTTCACTCGTCACAGCCAAGCCGAGCTCGGTGCCCCTCTGCACACCAGGCTTTCTGGAGCCGCAGAGAGGCGGGGGGTGGTCAGGAGAGAGGAACCTCCGGAGGCGCCCGAGGACTGAGACAAAGGACATGGACACGGCACAGAGACCCTGTTCTAGGACCAGTTGCCCCTGCTTTCTGGAAAAGCGCTGAGTCATGGTGACTCATGAATGCACTTGGGCAGAGGACCCAACGTGACCCCTGCTCCATTACAGCAGCATTATAATAAGTTAACATTGTGCCACCCCCTCCCCTGGTGGCCAATCAAGGAAAACCATGGGAGACCACATGCTCAGTAGCTTTAAAGTAATACAGCTACTTCTACATGCGCAATAAAAGCCCGCCAAAACCAGCCAGGGAGTACCCGCCCCGTAAGAACAGACTCCCTCCAGCCTCGGAGGTCTCTCTCCGCCCGGAGCTGGCCCGCTCTCCTGTTCTGCGGGGTGGTCTATGGCTTAATAAATCTGCGCGCTCTCTCTCTTTCTGCCGTAAGCTCTCTGTGTGTTCGGTTCAATTCATTGCCCGTGCTCACCCAGCACCTGGTTGCCTGCGCCCACCTGAGACAATAGGAGCCCCAGACAGCCAAGCACCGGTGTGAGCTCAGAGACAATAAAATCTCCGAAAATGCGCCCGCCACCCAGCGTCCTGAGCAACAAAAGCAAATGCAAAGGAAAGAAACAATGTCCCCACGGTACTAACTCATGCCACAGTAAGAGCAACGACCCCAGACGGAGGCGGACTAAACCTTGCCCAGATGCTGTAAGGAAATACAGCACCTCCCAGACAGTCAGGGGGCGTGGCTCCCCGAGTGCGCATGCTCAGTGGCAGCCTTGCAGTACTGCCCAAGTCCCGCGCAGAGTGTAACCTTCCAGCCTTCTGCACTCAGGTATTAAGTGTAGTTCATGAAAACCGAGTTTGAGTCGTATTTTTAAATTTATGAACACATCGTTCTTAGTCGTGCATGAGAATGAAAATCCGTGGCTTTGTGTTTGCTGTTTCCAAAGGAAGACTCGGTGTTGGGATCCGTTCACCTTCCACCCGGGAAGGACGAGCAAGGCTCCGAGCGAAGCCCACCTCGCTTCCGCGTCTGCAGCCCACAGGCCCGGTCCCCTTTGTCGTGAGCGTCAGGGAGGCCGAGGAGTGTCACTCAGAGACGGGAGCGACAAGTCCGTGTGTGTGTGTTGGGGGTGGGGAGTACTCTGGAGCGCGGGTGGCCTGACCGAGGCCACGGGCGATGCCGGGTCACAGCCCCACTGCTACTAGGACCCAACTGCGTCCAGTGTCGCCGCGTTCGGGCCGCTCGTGCTCCCTGGATCTCATTTCCACGAGGCTGTTTTAACTCTGGCGACGGGTGTCTGATCTGTGGAGCCAGCATCTCGGCTGTGTTTCTGATTCCCGCGTGTTAACTGTGGACTGTGCACGGACGCTGCCGAAGATGGTTGGAAGGAAAGACCGTGACAGTCCTGCCTCCCGGGAATAACGGCCCGCCCTTCCAGTCTTCTTGGCGGGCGTCTTAGAGGCTGGAGCTCCGGCTTCAGAAGCGGGCTTTGCCGGCTCCCGGCCGCCTGCGGCAGGAGCGAGGTGGAGGCAAAGCTCTGAACCTCGGTTTCCCAAGGCGAGGGCTCTGAGCGCCCAGCGGGCAGGAAGTCAGGGTGGCCGGACAGTCCTGGGTGCCCGCAGCGACACCTCCTGCGGGCGGCCCGACCCGGGGGGGCCGCCAGGGGGCGCTGTGGTGCACGGCCGCGCCCCGCCCGCGAGGGCCGCCGGGGAGCGCAGCGGCGCGTGCGCGGCGGCGAGGAGGGCGGCACCGCCCCGTCCCAGCATGCTGTGCGGGTAAACAGACATGGCGGGCGAGGGCGACCCGCAGGACGCTGCGCACGACATGGGCAACCACCTGCCGCTGCTACCTGGTAACGGCCGGGGCGGGGCGGGGCGGCGGGCGCGTGTCCGAAGGCCGCGGGGCTGCGCGCGGGGTCGGGCGGGGGCCCGAGACGTGGCTCTGGGGATGCGTGGTCGGGCCGCGGCCCGCGCGGCGGCCGGAACCTCTGGGACGCGGCCCCTGGGGGGTGACAGCCCGCGCGCCCCGAGCGCGCACGTCCCGCCTAGCGCCCGGCATTGCTGCCGCTCTGTCCCCGCGACCTGGCGGCTTATTCCGTCCGAGTCGGCCCGGGCGCGCAGGGCGCGCAGCCAGGGCCCCGTCCCGTGTCTGTCTGTCCGAGCCTGTCCGCTGTCTCTGGACCGCCTCGCGGTCGAGATACCGAGTATTGCTGTGCACAACCTGCCCTGCAGGCGGCCCCGCGCCTCGGAGACGTTAGCTCAGCCTCGCGCCCGGAGCGGGTCTCTGTGGGTGCGGCCCCCAGGGGTGCGGCTGTGACCTGGGACAGGTCGGCGCGCTGTGCGGTCCTCAGAGGAGCGGGAGGGGCGGGGTGCGTGCGTCTGGAGGCCGCTGCAAGCCAGACGCAGCGGTGTTTGGGCAGCCTGCTTTTCACGCCGCTGACTTGGGGGTTTTCTGTCCGAGACACAACTGTGGGTGCAGGCAGTGTCCTGAGGAAAGCTGTGCTTGGCGGGTCACGGGTGCCCCGCGACCTGCGTGGGTTGGAGGAGCGGGAGGCAGCGTGCATGCACCCCATGCACGAGTGGCCGCCTTTGCACAAGGGAACCCGGGTCGGAGGCTGTTCGGAGGCCGGCAGCGGAGCCGACACAAAGCTGAGTGTGTCAGCCCTGCCGTAGGCCCCGCGCACCCGCCTCCTTCGCAGTTCCCAGGCGGAGTGTTCACATGGGGCTCCCGCGGGACCCCGGCGCTCAGACTTCACTGTGGTGGCTCCCAGCAGTCGGTGGGGTTGTCCCCAAAGTCCGGAGGGCGACAGGCGGTAGATGCGATAGCATTGCGTTTCTGAGTCCCCGGGGAGTTACTCGTGAACATGCCCCGGGCTGCCGTTCCATCAGTCTTTGCGGTGCGCGCTGTTTCCGAGAGCGCCCCTCTTTCGGTGTGGGGGAGCCAGCTCCAGCTCCGATGCAGAGCGTGGTCTCAGCCAGGGGAACGCGGATGAGCAGCCGAGTGGGGAAGAAAGGCTGCCGCGCATAAGGCGCCCGTCTAGAGGCCAGCAGTCGGGACAGTTAAAGCCTGTCTTTCAGTGAAGGGTTCCAGCCCGCGATGAGCTCGCAGCCCACCTGTTCGGCTTTCTCCGGGGCAGCCCTCGGGGCTGCCCGCTGGTGGGCAGGGCACTGCGCGTGATCAGGGTTGTAAGTACAAGGAGCTGACTCAGAGTGCTTGTGCGACAGTCTGTATTTTTCCAGGACAGCTTGTGGAGCATCTGTGTTCTTAGGACAGACTCCTGCCCGCTGGCAGGGCCAGACCAGGGCCGCTGGAACGTGAGATGGAGTGGCCGGGTTCGCTTTGACAAAGCCTTGTGTCCAGGCGTCCATGAGAGCTAGCAGAAAGCCCAGAGCAGTTACTGTGTTGAAAGACGTTTGCGTTTTCTTGGGAGGGACCTGGCCGGAGGGAGTTCGGTTGAAACAGTGGCATACACGAAAGGAAATGACGCTTCTGTAGTGGCACTTTATTTACTTTGAAGATTGTTTGGGGCACTTTGATGGCTGTCATGTGTTTCTGAAACACACGAAAGAAATACGGGGTGAAAATGAGGCCCCCATGTCTCTGTGGCTCTTCTGGCCCGGGGTCTCTCGGTCACGGCACCTCCGCCGTTGGGGTGGGGAGCTCTCTGCCGCCGGGCCTGACTGTGGCCCGTGAGCAGCATCCCCAGCCACGCCCTCTCTGACCACCGACACCCGGTCCTGGCAGCCACGGACATTTCCAGACACCCCCCACAGCCCCCCGGTTGAGCACCCCCGGTGTAGGGTAGGGTCCCCGCAGCTGGCGTGGACAGGACAGGCCCCAGCGGACAGGGCAGCATCGGGTGAGGGCAGCTCCCCTAGCTTCCAACCCACGGTCGGCGAGGCAGGTTTTAGAGTGGGTCAGCCTGGTTTGCAGAATTTAAACTCTGTGGAGACAGCTTTCTAAGACACTTCTTTTAAAATGTCTTATGTTGCGTGGAAGCTATTTGTTGATTTTTTTTTTTTTACATCAGGAGAGGGAAGGAGGAGTGGGGGGGAGAGAAACATTGATTTGTTGTTCCTGTTATTTGTGCGTTCATGGGCTGCTTCTTGATTGTGCCCTGACCGGGGATGGAACCCACGTCCTTGGCGTATGGGGATGATGCCCCAGCCCACGGAGGGACCCGGCAGGGCCTCACGGGAGCTTTATGACATCCCGAAGCAAACTGGTGAAGGTGATGGCAGACGTTCCGTTCTCAGACGGCAGTGACAGCTGGGGGTGACATCACTGCCGCGGGCTCAGCCTGCCAGGCAGTGCCTCCTTCAGGTCCCCTCCTCCCTGCCCTCCGGAGGGACTTTTCACGGGGAGGTCGGAAAGGCCCTAGAGATGGTCCCGTTCGAGCCTGCCCCTGTCCAGAGGAGGACGCTCGGGTGCAGCCAGGGGTCAGAGCTTGGGACGGGGAGCGGAGACGATGGCTCACACAGGGGAACGTCAGCTGGGCCCCCGAGTTCCGTCCGCAGGGGAGCCCCTCAGGCCCATCCTCCCTGCCCTCAGCCGGGTGGTCGGGGTGGCCGGGGTCCGCAGGGAGGAGCGGCGCCGGTGGCAGCCTTGCACCTCTGGGGTCCTCGCCCCGGAGCCAGAGGCCCAGCCCGACCGAGAGAACACACAGGACGGGGCGCCCGCCCGGGGCCCTCACAGCCGGACAGTGCGAGCCAGCAGCCCAGACGAGGCAGGGGAGGCGGGAAGTGGAGTGGGGTCTCCGGGGTGGTGGGGTCCTGGGACAGCGGGGGCGTTGGGCACAGGCTGAGGCGACCCAGACATGAGGTGGAGAGGAGCCGATGCCCCAGTACGGCAGACGGAGCTGCCGGGGGACCCGGTGAGCGGCACAGGACGCAGCGCTCCTGTGTGTGACCCCGAGCCAGCCGACCCCAGACACCGGCGCAGACCCCCGCCCCCAGGGCCTCGGCGCCCCACGTTCCAGGGCTGCGGGCCTGCAGGAGGGGCTGCGCCTTCGACTGGGAGCTTGGCTCTGACGGTCATGCACCTGGTTTGCCCTCACCCGTCCGTTCACAGCGGAGAGCGAGGAGGAGGATGGGGTGGAGATGGAGGTGGAAGACCAGGACGGCAGAGAGGCCAAGAAGCCCAACGTCATAAACTTTGACACCAGTCTGCCGACGTCACACACGGTATGTCTTTAGCGACAGCTCTGACTGACACATGTCGCGTCGGCCACAGAGCTCTGGGTTCTCCGTGCGGCGGCTCGGGCCGCCCTGAGTCGTCCTCGGCCTCGTTCGAAAGAGCTCTGCGAGGTTGTGTCGCGGGGGCCGTCACACCAGGGCGCTTTAAAAGAAAAAATCAAAGTTGGTGAGTTTTTGTGTAGCCCTTTTGACACTGAAGATGGAAGAAAATACACGACATGTCCAGTGTATCGTAGTTTGCTACTCAAGAAAGGTGAGAACGCAGCTGGCGCTGAGAGGTGCGCGCAGTGAGCGGAGCTGGCGCTGGGGGCCGGGGTGGGGGGGGCGTGGGGGAGGGGCTCGCGCCGCTGCGCGTGGGAGGAGTCTCCCCGCGGCACTCCGGGTCGGGTCGGGCAGGTGAGCTGGAGTGGGCGGCGAGCGAACCGAGCCCGTGGTTGAGAACAGTCCCCGTTACACTGGGCGGGAGGTGGTGGGCGTGTTCAAAATGTCCAGCTCCAGAACGTTATTGGTGAAAACGAACAATGTACGATTCATTTTACGGAAAAAACTACAGACTTTTTGGCCGACCCAACATTTCCAACTAAAAACTGGTCTGGAGTTTGTACGTGCGAGAGCCGTACGAAGCGCCAGGAGTCCTTCCGAGAGTCCCAGCGAGCCCTTCCGGCCTGGGGGAAGGCGTGCGCTCCGTGTGCCCCCCTCCCCCAGGAGCTTCGCTGCTCGGGGCCCTGGGCCTTCGCCCCGCCCCCTGCGCCCCCTGCCCCGCCCCCGCGCCCCTCGCCCCGCCCCTGCACCCTGTGTCCCGCCCCCTGTGCCCCCCCGCCCCGCCCGTGGTGACGGCGCCCCTGTCCGCCCGCCCGCAGTACCTGGGCGCCGACATGGAGGAGTTCCACGGCCGCACGCTGCACGACGACGACAGCTGCCAGGTGATGCCGGTGCTGCCGCAGGTGGCGCTGGTGCTGATCCCGGGCCAGACCCTGCCGCTGCAGCTCTTCCGCCCGCAGGAGGTCAGCATGGTGCGCACGCTCATCCAGAAGGACCGGACCTTCGCGGTCCTCGCCTACAGGTGCGTGCGCGTCCCCGCGGGGCGGGCCCTCTCCGCGGTCGCGCGCCTGCTGTCACGCACCTGCCGCACGGCGAGGCCCGCGTCGGCCGAAGCTGACGGTCACTGCGCCTGCCGGGAGTCGGGCTGGGCGGGGCGCAGGGCGCGGTTCCGGGGAGAGGCCGGGAAGCCCGAGTGTTGGCGTGCTCGCCCCGCCTCGCACAGACGCTGCCTCTGCGCGCGTGCAGGCGGGCTTCCGGGCGCGCGCGGCCTGTCTGTGTTTAGAGAGGAACAGGGCCTTTGCGTTGGGACGTCCAGGACGACTGTCACAGGAGAGTGGCTGTCGTCTCTCAGAAGCCGTACGCTGTCCGTGACAGACCGGCGCAAACCGCGGCCGAGTCTCACGTGCCCGTGGCAGCTGCGGGGAGTGGGCGGCGGCGGCGGACAGGCAGTCCCCGCCCCGGTGCAGCGGGCCGCCTCTCTCGCAGCAGGAGCGGGGGGCTGCCGCGCGCGAGTGTTGGCTCGGGGCGGGGAGGGCTGCCCGTGGGCCCGGGGCGTGTCGGTGACTGGGGGTCGTGCTCCCAGAAGCCGCTCCCTGTTCTTCGGAGGCCTCCTTCTGGGCCCGCACCCTACCCCGCCCCCCGTGTGACAGTAGGAGGGCGACAGCTTCGTGGTGGGGGGCCGTCCCGCTGCCGCGTGTCCCCGCGTGTCGCTGTCACCAGCCTGGCACATGTGGACAGCAGATGCTCAGAAGGGTCCCCTTTCCGGAATCGCCCCGCAGCGACGCGCAGGAGCGGGAGGCGCGGTTCGGGACCACGGCGGAGATCTACGCCTACCGGGAGGAGCAGGACTTCGGCATCGAGGTGGTGAAGGTGAAGGCGGTCGGGCGGCAGCGCTTCCGCGTGCTGGAGCTGCGGACGCAGTCGGACGGGTGAGGCCGGCGCGGGCGCCCTCGAGGGACCCGGGTTCCTGTGGCGCGGGCTGGCCTGCCACTCTCTGTGACTTCCACCGGCCCTTCTCCTTCCTTGGGGGGTTAGCCTCGTGGCTTCCAGCCTCTGTGCGTCCCCGTCACTGGGATGTTTCTAGAACTACGGAGGCTGAATCCCAGCCCCGCCCCCACCACACCCCTAGCGAGTGCCGGGAGGGGGAGGGGCTGCAGCCCCGCCCGGGATTTCCTGGTGGTCCCCAGGTCCCCGCGGGTCTGAGGGCGGTCGGGCACGCCCAGAGGGCAGCGTCCTTTGCCGGGCAGCTGCAGGGACGGAGGGCTGCTCCTCAGCGTGAGCCCGGGTGGGAGGCGCCCGGGCGTCCCTGGGGTGTGTGGGGGCCAAGTGGGGGCCACGGGCCCTTAGTGCCTGTCGCCAGTGCAGACCCGACCTCGCCGGTGAATGTGTCACGCACGGCGTGTGGTTGGTACCGCCTGCCGGCTCTGCACCCCGTCAGGGTCAGAACTGGCGGGTGTTGGTTTCAGTGGGTGTTTGGGCATGGCTCGCGGGGTCAGAGTTTTCCCGCAAGTGTAAGGAACACCAAACCCATTGTTAAAGACCCAGCTCACCTTTCGTCACCCTCTATTTAAAAGGAAGGCACTCGCCCTGGTCACTGGGTGCCGTCTTGTGGGCGCGGCCCTCCGCTCCAGCGGGAGGCCCCGGGGACGCAGGGCGCAGAGCCACAGACGTACGGAAGTCCCACTCGTGGCTCTGCTGCTCAAGGCAGCGGCGGGTAGGAGCGAGCGCTCCAGCGTCCTGCAGGCAGCTCACGGAGCCCGGTGTTCCGTGCGCCGCCCGTCACGGTCTGGCCGACAGGGCTGCGCCCCGGAGTGTGAACGCCCTGGTCCCTTCCCCGGGCGGAGGCCGCGCTGCCCGGGAAGCTGCCCTCGGAGCGGCCTCGCTGACGGCTGTGCTCCCGACCGGGTATCGCAGCTGCGGCGGTCTCGGGGCGGTCTGGGAATTCATTTTTGGATCTGAAGACGTGCAGCAGTGCTTGGTTACGTGCTGATTTTTAAAACTTTGTGTCACTTACGGACTATACACTCATTCATCTGAGATGTGAAAGTTCTACCTTTGGTGTGGTTTGTGAAACACGGTGGTTTTGCAAGTTTTGCTGTTGACAGTGAGCCCGTGCTAGAGGCTCAGGAGGTCGGGGGGCCTCTCTGAGCGCCCGCCCGCCCCGTCTCAGCATCCAGCAGGCGAAGGTGCGGATCCTGCCCGAGTGCGTGCTGCCCTCCACCATGTCCGCCGTCCAGCTCGAGTCCCTGCGCAGGCGCCAGCTCTTCCCCGCCCCGTCCGGCTCCTGGGAGGACCGCCGTTCCTACAAGTGGTGGCAGAAGTACCAGAAGGTGAGAGCCGACTTCCCGGGCGTCTTCCAGGGACGGAGAGCACGTGCTGTTCCGCTTTTAAGGGAGAAACACTGAGAGCTGTCAGGACGCAGGCCCCTGGCACCTGCACGGTCCTCTCGACCGTGCCGGGGGCGCCTGACCACGCGGTGTTCCCGTCAGCCGTAAGCCACAGGGCGCGGTGAGGTCTTCTCACTGCTGTGTGTTAACAGCTTGCAGTTTCTCTTTTTTAAAAATAGATTTATTTATTTTACTGTTGGAGACAAGGGAAGGGAGAGAGAGAAACGTGTGGTTGCCTCTCATGCACCCCTAACTGGGGACCCGGCCCGCAGCCCAGGCCTGTGCCCTGACTGGGAATTGAACCGGCGACCCTGTGGTTCCTGGACCAGCGCTCAGTCCGCTGAGCCATACTAGCCGGGGCCGCAGCTTGTCGTTTCGATTCCGCGGGGTCCTCTCCCCAGACTGGACTCGGGTCAGATGTTTGGCTCGCGCCGTAAGCCCGTGGCCGGAGAGACGGGGGAGTGGGTTTGGCTGCCTCCGGGCTCCCGAGAGCAAAGCCGTCCGGCTCTCTCCGCACGGCTCCGCTGGCCTCACAGGGCTGGCCGGTGAGTGAGCATGTGCTCTGTGAGACGTGCCTGGCGTTAGCTCTTTTGGCGAAATCGTTCTTTCTCTCGGGGAAAAGCTCGTGAGGCCTGTTCCTCCGCAGTGGAGAGAGGGGTCGGCTTTGAGCACGAAACAGTAGCCTTGGTGGTCGCTGCCCGAAGGGAGGGGTTGCTCGGCCCTAAACCCAGCATGCGCTGGCTTTGCGGGGTTCGCCTTCTGCAAACGGACAGACAGCTGCCTGCGACCTGACAGGCCCCTCCCCGCGCTGACCTCCCTTCCTGGTCTGGCAGGGCAGCGAGGTCGGACTGGGCGTGGACGGTGTGGGCCACCGTGAGGGTCTCCCCCACCGCTGCCTGCGCCCCGTCTCCATCTGCTCCCCAGACGGGACCTCGTGCCGGCGGCCTCGCGGGGCGGTGGGCTCGGGCCGGCTGCTGCGGACCGGGGTCTCGCAGGCCCGTGTCGCAGCCCCGGCGTGCCCGAGAGGAGTCTCAAGAGGAGGCTGCCGTTGGCTGCCTCGCCATCCGTGCCCGCCGTGTTCCGGGGCAGGGCCCGCAGCAGCAGGGGCAGTGACGCCGGGCGCCGAGTTTTTTCCTGGAGAAGGAGGAGAGTCTCGACCTCCGCTCTGCGGTCAGGCGCGTCCCCCGGCTCCCGCCCGGCCTGCGGCTGTGTGTCCGCGGCGTTTGTCCCTCCCTGCGTGCGCTCCGGTTCCTGGGAGCCGGGAGCTGTCTGGGGGACGGAGGGGCAGAGCCAGCAGCTGCGGGGTCACCCGCAGAGCTGCTCCTGCTGTGTGCCCTGCCGGCTGGGGTGGGGCTCGGGGCGGTGAGTGACCCCCCGCCGCCCCCCATGGCTGCGCAGCCCTGGAGCAGCGGCTCGCTCGGGGTGCTGCTAGACCGTGGCACCGTCCCAGGGAAGCTCGCTGCCCCCTGAAGGGCCACGTGTGTGCGCTTCACATGTTTCGAACGCCCTCCGTGGTTGGGAGGCAAAGCGGAGGCTGTGGTTCTTCTGAGGCTTAAAGCAGAAGGATGTGACAGCTGACCTTGGGCCGCAGACAGGTTCCTCCGGGGGCCGGCCTGCCTGCCGCGTCCCGTGGCCAGTGCCATCCGGGGGCCGCGCCCTCGCTGCGGAGTCCGCCCGGTCATGCCGGCGCCCGGTGTCCGAGCGGCGTCGGCGCCGACGGCTCTGGGGAACGCCGTGAGCTGCGGGGCCTCGTCAGCTGGGAGACGGGAGCCCTCCGTGGCGCCGGGTCACGGCGGGACGCCGAGGGCCTGTGCGGTGGTCCTGTGTTGCCGGTCTCCCCTGGCGCACATCCCTGGCGTGGGGGCGGTCCCCACGCAGAGCACGTCCCCAGCAGGAAGGTGCATGGGCACACATGACCGGCGGGCCCACAGAGCTTCAGGGCCCGTCCGGGCAGCCCCACGGAAAGGAACTTCACAGGCTGCCTCATGCTGACCGGTGGGGGCCGGGACCCCGAGACCCAGCCTGTTCGGGCCGCAGCGCCTGGGCGTGGCGGTGAGCAGGGGACGCTGGCCCTGGTGTGCTCCTGTGGCCGCCCCCCCCCCACCCCGGTTCCTGCCCCCATGTCGTCGCGGGCAGTGATGCCTGTGCAGGGAGGCAGGCTCCTGTGTGACGAGGGGGCTCCCTCGGGCGTGGCGGGTGGTGCCAGGCGGCTCTGGACCAGCCCTCTGCACCTCCTGCCCGGCTGTCCTGGGCGCCACGGTGGGCACTCAGGTGTTCTCAAGAGAGTCAAGGTTCTAGTTGCAGTGTGTACTTGAAGGCTATACAAACGTGATCATTAAACTTAATAAATGTCCATTATGAAATAAGTCAGCTACAAAATTTTCCTTTTTGAAATTAGAAGTTTTTCCTGAGCCGAAGGAACTTTCGAAAGCAGCTCTGTGTTAAGAATCTGTGTTATGTGAGGTCACTTTACTGAGTGACTTTTTTTTCCTGTTTCAGAGGAAGTTTCATTGTGCAAATTTGACTTCGTGGCCTCGCTGGCTGTATTCCTTATACGACGCTGTGAGTACCTCCCTCCACCCTCCGTGTCTGGGGCGGCGGGGGGGCCGTGACTAGGGGCCGCTGGAGCAGAGCGCAGGCTGTCGCACTGGGGCGGCTCACGTTCAAACCCAGGGCCGCCTGTGACGCTTGCGGAGAGCAGCCGGGGTCAGAGACCCCCGGGCAGACTCTGCCTTTGACGTGCAGAGTGTTTGGTTTTCCCGGTTTTTCGTGCCTTGGAACTCCAGGACGAGATGCGGACGTGTGTTAGGGTCTGTCAAGCACTTGAAACTCTTGTGGGTCAAGTGGTGGTCGTGCTTAGAAAATTAAAGAACCCTTCCACGGTGCTTTGTGCTTTTCCAACCAAGTGCAACGACTGTGTCTCCTGCTCGCTGGCCAGGGCACGAGTGGGCGCCCCCCAGCGGTTGTGCCGAGCCCCTCATTCCAGCGGCATCACCCCCCGTGCAGACCCCAGACCGGCAGGCTGCCGGAGCCGTTCTGAGGTCTGCGTTTTTGGACAAAGGCCGTCCACAGCCTGATTCCCATCCCTCGCTGTGGTTTGGGGCGAATGACTTGAGCATCTGTAAAGTGGGGGGGCTGGTGGCTGTGGCCCTGGGCCTGGAGCACACGGCACCCGTCACTCGCGCCCCGTCGGGTCGGGCCGCCCTGGGCCTCGGGTCCTGGGAAGGCGGCCCCGGGGGCTCTGCGCATGCCCCAGGGCGAAGCACTGCGGGGAGCCACAGCTCGCTGCTGCCTGCCGCCCGGCAGGCGGGGGCATGTTTGCGCACACGTGCTGAAGGAGGACGCTCCCTGGGGCGGTGAACGGGACGCGCCTGGGCAGTCGGCAGGGGCCGCAGCCCCGCCCATGGGGGGGGTGGTGCCAGGCAGCCCAGAGCGGGGCACCCGCGGGGCTCGCTGGGCCTGGGCCTGGGCCGCGTCCCCGTGAGAGCGCAGGCGTGTGAGCGGGGCTCCGAGTCCCCAGGGGCGGCTGCCCCCACTGCTGCGCGCTGGTTTCACCCGAGCGAGCCGGGGGAGCGACGTTGAGCCGGGAGGGCCCGCGCCCCCGGTCACGGCCACCCTCCCCGACCCAGGAGACGCTGATGGACAGGATCAAGCAGCAGCTGCGGGAGTGGGACGAGAACCTGAAGGACGACGCTCTGCCCGCCAACCCCATAGGTACGGCCCGCGGCCCCCTCCCGCGGCTGGAGAGAGACGTCTCACCGCCGGAGACCGGTTTGTGTGTCCTGGCGAAGCCCCAGGTGTTCGTCTTGTTGACGAGTGTTCTCACTAGTCTCGAAAAGCTCGCACTTTTTTTTTTTGCTTGGAGCATTTTTAAAAGCAAAACTGCTTTTTATGTAGTTAAGCGTGTCCAAGTTCTGGGATTCTGCAAACACCCCGATTTTCAGCGAGCTTTCCCCAGCGGGCTCAGTGGGGACCCCTGGCTCGCGTTCGGAACGACCGCCCCCCCATCCCCCTCACCAGGGCAGCTCCCCCCCGCCCCCGCACCCAGAGGGGCTCCGACGCGACCCCGCTCTAGGACACGCCACGCGCCCCCTCCGGGTCTGTCTGGGGGGGGCCGCCCGGCAGACGAGGGCCTCGGGACCCGTGCTAGCTGGTGTGTTGGACTGGAGGGAGGCACTTCGGGAACAAGTACGGGGGGGAGTTGCGCTCCAGGGCGTCCCGGGGGCACCCGCTGGCCCTTTCCGCGGCGCCGCGGTCGCGCTCTCCGTGAGCCCTTGCTGCGCACACTCAAACCTGACACTCCCCCGCCCCCCGCCGTGTCCTCAGACTTCTCCTACAGAGTAGCAGCCTGCCTCCCCATCGACGACGTGCTGAGGGTGCAGCTCCTCCGGATCGGCAGCGCCGTCCAGCGCCTGCGCTGCGAGCTCGACATCATGAACAAGGTGAGCGGTGGGGGCGTGTGGCAGCGGCATGTGACAGCGGGGTCTGGGGTGTCTGGGGTGTCTGGGGTGGCGGGGCGCTCTGTGGGGACCCGCAGCCCCTCCAGGGCCGGTCCGTCCCGCCGGCAGGGGACCAGAAAAGGGGACGGACAGTGGAAGCGCGTCACCGGGGACCGAGCACGGCAGCTGGAGTGGTTACGTGTTGACCAGCTCCGGGTCCCTCTGTGTAGTCGGCTGCACCGGGACGTGGGCACCGCCCTGGCCGTGTGTGTCGGCCGCGAGGCCTCTGGCCGGGGTGTCAGTTCTGTGGGCGGGCGGGGGGTGCGCCCCAGAGCGGCTCTCCCCACCGACCTCCTCTCACCCGTTTCAGTGCACGTCCCTCTGCTGCAAGCAGTGTCAGGAGACAGAAATCACCACCAAAAACGAGATCTTCAGGTGAGAGGCTCCGTGTTTGTGAACTTGAGCGCCCTCTCCCAGCCGCGCTCCCAGCACTTCCTCCCCGGTCAGGGACACGCAGCGAGTGCACGGTGAGGGGCAGGTGGTCCCCCAGGGCAGGTCCCCGGGGCCGGGTGGGGGTGTGCGGTGCCCCGCCCCCCAGTCCCCATGGGAGGCCGCGCTGCAGACCGCGTGCAGGGCCTTCCCGGGGGCCCCAGGCGTTGCCTGCAGTTCAGCGTCGGGTCTGCCGTGCCGACTGGAGGGGGGCGGGGCACGCCTGTGCGCGCCCGGGGCTGGGGCAGGACGGCGTGCGCACGGGCTGTGTGGCGGCCTCGCAGCTCCGAGCCGGGACGGGTGCATGCCCTTCGGACCCAGACCCCGCTGAGTGGGAGCTCCACGTCACACGTGTGCGGGGGCTGGGGACAGGTGTCCTGTTGCGTCCCATCACCTCTGGTCACCGGGGGACACTCAGACCGAGCAGAACCGCGGACTGCCCGCCTCCTGCTCGCGGGCTGAGGCCCTGCTGTTACGTCAAAGTGACCGAGGGGTCAGAGACGATCGCTCCCGTGACCCCAGTCCTCGGTCCGCTTGTAAAGACTCAGCCCCCGCGCCTGACGCCGTGCCCCTCTGTCGCAGCCTGTCCCTGTGCGGGCCGATGGCGGCCTACGTGAACCCGCACGGCTACGTGCACGAGACGCTCACCGTGTACAAGGCCTCCAACCTGAGCCTCGTCGGCCGGCCGTCCACGGAGCACAGCTGGTTTCCCGGGTAACGGCCTGCGGGCGGCTTTTCTTTCGGGTGGTTTTGCCTTGATCGGGAAGAAGAGCAGACTCCTGGGCCACGGGGCCGGCGTGGGGGCGTGAAGTGGGCCGTGCGGGCAGTCGTGCCGTCTGCGTGCTGTTCGCGTCCCCCGTCGGTGGCTGGGACGGGCGTGTGCACGCTCGCGTGGGTGTGACCCTGGGGCCTCGGGGCTCACTGCGCAGCACGGGGCTGAGCGGCCGCACCTTGAGTGTGAGCCTGGGGCCGAGGCTCCCACCCCTGCCCGCGAGTCCCTCCACCCCACCAGCTTCAAGGCCCTGTTGTGTGTCTTTCCGTCTGAATGCTGGGCCCGTTTTCAAGAGACAAAAGCAGCTGAGCAGGAATTAGCGCTTTACTCCGTTCCAGACCTAGAACCGTGTCCTTTGGCTTGTCCAGTCCTGACACCCTCTTCGGTCCAAGAGCCGAGACTAGTTCACTCACGGCTGTAAATGCTAAACGTGGGAAGCACGGAGGGGGAAAGAAGGATGGTTGCGATTCCCCGGTTCGGTGTATTGTCCTGGGAACCGGGAATGCCGTGGGCTGTACTTCCGACAGAACCTCCCTCTTCTGGAAGAGGGGTCTTGGGCCGTTTCCCGTCTCACGTGAACGAGACACGTTCCCCTCCCTGCACCCCCAGCGCGCCCCTCTCCCCGGGGCTGCCTCGGCGGGCGGTCCTCCCGGCGGGGTCCTCCCCCCACCCCCGCAGGGCTGTCTCTCCCCCGGAGCCCTGCGGCCCGCACCCTGAGCCCGGGCCAGGGCAGCTGGAAGGGCACAGACAGACCCCGTTCTGCGGCTGCGGCTCCGGAAACCGGGCCCGTCCGAGGCGGGGCGTCCGTTCCTCGGGGCGCTTGGAGCCGTCCCCCGAGCCGTCCTCCGGGCGGGTCTCCAGCGGGAGCCTGGGGCGCAGACGCGGGTCCTAGCGGCCTCTGTCTCTGACCTCGCAGGTTTGCCTGGACGGTGGCCCAGTGCAAGGTCTGTGCCAGCCACATCGGGTGGAAATTCACAGCCACCAAAAAGGACGTGTCGCCTCAGAAGTTCTGGGGGCTGACGCGATCGGCTCTGCTGCCCACGATCCCCGACACCGAGGACGACGTGGGCCCCGACAAAGTCGTGCTGTGCTTGTGAGCAGGCGTGGCGGCCGGCGCTCTGACGGCGTCCGCCCTGGATCCTGCTCCTGCTCCTGCTGCTGCTGCTGCTGCTGCTGCGGACCCGGGTCGGGGGTGTGGCGGGAGGGGCAGATGCTTCGCCCCACGGTTTGAGGACTCGAGACTGACACGCGCCGTGGGAGAGGACGCAGCGCAGTCTGGGCCGCGCGGTGCTCTGGCTCCCCGGCTCCTGGAGCTTGGCGCCTGGCCCCGCGGGCCGTGACGTCGGGCGACACGTGACCGGAGGACGCTGCTTCCTGTAGGAGCGCAGAACGTGCTGAGAGGCGGCGTGTGGGTGGGGGGCGCGTCCACCCCCTGCCCCGGGCGCGGGGCCCACGGCCGGTGCCCACGCGAGCGCCTGCCCCTTCCCGAGGGGGGCCGGGCGGTTAAAGCCGGGAGAGTCTTGTTCTTTCAACTGTTAGTCTGTGAGATACTGACTTGTAAACTTCGAAAATATTAGAGTTAAAACATGCAGTTTGAGCCCAAAAATACGGTTCTCGTTTTCTTCAGTGCCCGCCGGTAAGAGACCCCACGGTGTGCGTTCGCTGGGCAAGTGCCCGTCGGAGCCCACGGCGCCCCCTCGTGGAGGCGGCCGGCGGCTGCGGTCTCCGGCTGTCCGTTCGGGTCGGTTTGGGAGAGAAGCGAACCTCAAGGACTGCACTACGTTAGCCGTGTCCCCGCGGAAGCAGCGCACCCCACCTGCTCCCGCAGCCGGCCCGGGTGTGGTCGGGTCCTCCCAACAGGGACAGGCAGAGGAGCTGCCCAGCTCTGCCTCCCCGATTCCGTGCCCCCCCCCCCAGGGGTGGTGGGCCGCCTCCCCGCCCCTCCCTCACTGTGGGTTTGCGCTTCCCCCCACGGCCCACGGCAGCTGACCCGGCGTCCTGGAGGGCTCGGCCCAGCAGCAGCTGCTCCCCCGTGCGCACTCCCGATCCGGCAGCCCGGCCCGCGGACCCCTGGGGGGAGGGCGGGAGCAGCCCCGGACGCCACAGCCGCCCCGTCCCCGAGCCAAGCTGGGCTGCTACCGTGGGTGACAGCCGGGAGGTCTACGAGAGGACGGGCCGTGTGCCCACCACTCCGCACCAACTGCTGCTCGGGGACCCGGGGTCCCCTGGGGGCAGGGCACAGCTGCACCCCGAGGCGGCGCCAGCCAGGGAGGGCGGGACACCCCCCCGGCGTCCACAGCGCGTACCGACCGCAGACAGAACTCTGGCCGCAGGAGCGTGCACGCGACACTGTCCCAAGCGACATTGTCCCAAGCGTTGCACACACGGCGCCCAGACCTCTGAGCAGCCCCCCGCAGCACCCCCTGCCGGGAGAGCGGCATCGGGGCGGGGCGGGGCGGGGTCTGTCTCCGTGGCCCTGCAGGACACGGCTCCCTGACGCCCGGCACTGCTGACCCGTGCGAGCGACCTCGAGACGCCCCCTCTCAAGGAGCCTGGGCGACCCTGAAGGCGTCCACCGCCCTCAGCCAGGCTCTGACGGAGACACTGCCGTCTGTCCGGGCGGAGCCTGCGGCCTGGACGGGAGACGCAGCTGTAGGACCGAGGAGCCCAGCGGCAGAAACGACGCGCGCTTTCCCACGGGGTGGGGGGGTGGGGGGGCGCAGACCCTCGGGGAGCACAGGTGCCGGCCTGGCCACGGAGACCGTAACGAAGGCCACGTCCTCCTCCCCGGGCGCTCAACCTCACCCTGACCCGCACGTCCCGGCGCCTGGGGCCCAGCGGGCACCGCGTTTCAGAGGGCGTTTCAGGCACATCTGTCAGCTACGCTCAAGTACGACTTTATTCTGCACTTCAGATGAGCACCGACACCCACCGCAGACGGTCGGGTAACACAGCCCCGTTATCCCGGTTCCAAACACCGAGCAGCTTTCCCTCCACACACCGACCTCAGCACAGCCCTGCGCGCGGGGAACTGAGTCAGGACGGGCCGAGCCCGGCCAACCAGCCCACCTCCTGGTGGGAACCTCCGTCCGCGGGACAGAGAGGGCTGGGTGCCGGGAGACGGGGCGGGAGGCGGCGGGCTGCAGTGCCGACCCGGGGTGCGGGTGGGCATGGCCACGCGCCTGCGGTCCTGCACTCCCCGCCAGGAGCCCTCTCGGCCGCGGTCCCTCCTGCTCGCGCCTCTGGGATCTCACCGAGGGGCCAGAGAGAGCCTCACCCGGCAGCCTGCTGGTGGCGCCCGCGGGCTCAGGTCTTCCGGACGAAGCTCAGCAGCTCCTCCTTCTCCATCCGGTAGCCGCTCCGCTTCCACTGGTCTCGCAGCTGCTGCAGCAGCGCCCCGATCTCCTTCCCGGAGGAGACGCCCGCCCTGCGGAGGTCGTGGCCGCTCACGGGGAAGGGCGGCACCGACCAGTGCTGCAGCTCCCGCAGGAGGGCGGGCCGGCCCTGGTACTTCAGCAGCTCGGCCACGCGGGCGGCGGCGTCCGGCTCCCTGCACTGAGGTCACAGGGACAGCGTCAGCGCTCCCGCGAGAGCCCGCCGCGGCCCGCCCCGCCCCACGGGGACCTGAGTGCGTGAGGGGACACCCCCCCACTCAGAGTGAGCGACACCCACAGAACACGGGGGTCCCGGCGCCAGGACACCGGCCGCACCGCACGCACCGTCGGTGGGGGGGACCGAGCCCGGCCCGCGCCCGGCGCGTACTCACGTCTATGAGGAAGTCCTGGTAGGGCTTCAGCGGCTCCGCGCCGTCCGGCGCTTCAACCAGGTCTCGCCTGTACTTGACGATGAACAGGCCGAGGTTCTTCTCTTCTTTCGAGATCTTCAGCCTCAGATCCAGCTTTGCGACGTCGTCCTGGGCTCTGAACAACGAGGCCAGGAGCGTCATCGGCTTCGGTGACAAACCCTCGACGTGTTGACTGACGCGGTCAAACTCTTCCAAGCTGGCGCTGGCAGGTAAGCCTGGAGTGGGGACGAAGGCTGTTTCACCCGTCTCCACGGGACGGGTTTAACAGGCAACCCCCAGATGCTAAGCCACCCACGAGGCTGCTCTGCAGGGACGCCCCTCGTGAGGGCTCCGTGTCCCCCCGACCCGGCGCTCCCCCGTCCCACAGGGACCCCCGCCCCTCACCCTGCAAACCGAGGGGTGTCCATGAGCCAGCGGCGGCAGCAGCAGGGCAGGCGGGGGTGGTCACACCCGGGGACACAGTCCAGCTGCCGGCTCCTGCCCTTGCTCAGCCACCGGACGCCCACCCCTCCAGTGAGCCCCCGTCTGAAACGCACCGAGGTTCCCAGCACACTCGCTGTGCCCTGCACATGCGCTGGGACAGCCCCCGGACGGCGCCCGTGCCTGTCACTCCTCCCCGACTCCGCACCACTCACCCCCTGCCGCTCGCAGCCCCCCCCACCATGGGGACGCTGCCACTCCCGCTCCGCTCTCAGGTTCGGGCGCCCACCCACGTTCCCGAGCCGCCCAGACGCCACTCAGGCCCTGCGCTGTCCGCACCCGTGACAAAACGGCTCTACCCGTCCTCAAAGTTCATTCTAAGATGTTTCATTTCTCCTCCGAGAAACCTTGAACCGAACTACACACATTTCCCTCGTAAAACCTTAACCGGACGTGTCTGCCTCCCCGAGACGCGGACTCGCCGCCCCCGGCCTCACCGACGTAAGGAGCCACGTCGAGGTCGTAGATGAGGTGGATCAAGTGGTTCACGTGGTTGCCGACGAGAATCTTCTTCAGCTCCACCCAGATCCGCTCCCCCGACACCCCCGCCAGGCCTCTGGCGTTTTCTGCGATCGCTTCCAGAGTCTCGGGGTCGTGGTCACCAACCGTGTCCACGATCCTCCCGTAAAACCTGCAGAACAAAGCCCTCGCAGTGCGGTCACCCCTGCTGGCACGCCCCCCAGCGGAGTCGCGTTTTCAAGCTGACGGCCCCGCGCACACCTGCTGAACCCAGACGACCCTCAGCCAGGGCCGGGAGGGACCCTGCAAAGCATGTGGTCGGTTCCCCACCGTCCCCCTTTCCCTGATGAGGGCGCCCGCTGGCCGGGAACACACAAGCACCTCCTCCCCAAGGCTGGCAGGAACGGGGCCCCCCGTTCGCTGCCGCTTCCCGGCGCAGGCCCGAGTCGGTGCCGCGGGGACCGACCACGGGGAGCACTCTGCCAGGCGCCCCACCGGGGCCTAACGCCGGCCGGACATGCTCGCCCTGGACACGGGCCCCGCCGCCTGCCTGGCCGCTGACCCCGCACTGCCCTCCGTGGGGCCTCAGGGTCAGGGCCCTCAAGCGCAGAGGGCCGATTCACTGGCATCAGAATTGAAGGGCCAGCTGGCGGTCTGTGTTCCGCCGTCTCTGAACAGGGACGTGGCAGATACTCAGGTCTGGAGGAGCGCCACTGACAAAGGATAAGGGGCTGGGGGGCATTTCGAGTCGCCCAAGACTATCACTGCCAGACGCGAGGCAGCCAGGCAGCGGAGTTCACGCAAAGGCCGCTGCGGGTGGAGCTCGAGGGAGTGGCGCCCACACCGCCCCCCGGACACACTCCCCTCCCCAGGCTCTGGCAGGAGGGCTCCCACGAACCCACACGCAGCCACACGCGGCCACGGCCCCCACCCCCGCCTCGGTGTGGGGGCGCCCGGCACAGGGCGGGCCTGCGGGCACCCCCGCAGCCGCGTCAAGAAGCGTCGGCGCAAGGAGTGCTCGACCGAAAAACCGGACGTTAAAAACGGCTTAAAGCCGAACGCTGTGGAAGACCACACGGTGGGGCGGATGCGGTGTGTCCTGGGAGTGGGAGGAGGAAGTTACTGCAGGACCCCTCCCAGGGCGCCCCCCTCGTCTTCGGGGCCCCGCCTACTCCCCAGCAGGTTCCACTGGGGAACAGGTGCCGCTGACGCTCCACGCTCCTCCCCACCCGTGCGCCCAGGCACGGCGGCAGTTCCGGTCCCTCTCGGGTGACGGAGACGCTGTGGAGCGACCAGGGGGCGGGGCGGCCTGCAGCGCGGAGACGCTGGGTGAGGGGACGGCGAGTCACGTCTCACCGGGGACCTCGGCTCCTGGGGTCATCATGACACGCAGAGCAGGCACGCAGTTTAAAGCCCATGGATTGTTTATTTCTGGGATGTTCCAGGTAACACTTCCTGGCGTGGCTGCACGCAGAAAACGGGCTGGGGAAGGCGAGGCCGTGGGTGGGGGTGACCCCGCAGCTCAGGGCCCACTGCGGACAGGCGCTCACGCGGGAGGCCGCCGTCCCGCGCACTGGCCGGCTGGGCACTGCACCCCTCAGAGCTGCAGTGTGGTAGTCACTGCGAAAACGGCGTCAGTGATTTTCAAAAACTCTTACCTAAAGTATCTTAAAATCCTAAGGTAATCTTCCTGTATCCTCTTTTTAGCATGCCCAACAAATCTCACTTTCTTGTTTTTCAAATCTTCGTAACCGTTGAAGTAGTCGTACAAAGTGCCGTCGAAGCCTGTTTGTCGGGAAGGAGGGGAGAGAAACGACCGTCAGCAAACGAGAACTGGGAAGGGACGCGGCGCGTGTCTGCAGCGGAGTGTGACCCAGCTGGGAGAAAGGGCGGACTCCCGCCATTTGTGGGCGGTGGGGGGTGCCGAGGGCATCGGCTACTCGAAGTCCGTCGGACGGAGAAAGATGAGCACCGTGTGACCTCCCTCACGGCAACACAGAACCCAGCTCACAGCTCACAGCACAGACCCGACCAGACCAGACGGGTGGTCGCCAGAGACGGTGGGCTGGACGAACTAGGAGAGGGGTCACTAGCACACCCCCCTGGCTGTTTCGGTCCATACGGCATTTTGGTGTGCACGGAAAATTTAAAAGGCTCCAGAATGAAAAGGAAATAAAAAACGGAAAGAAAACAATGCAGATAAATAAAAACAAGAATCTGATTACAAAGTAATAGATGTGGCGCATCTGTCTCAATGTTATTTGTTCTTCACGAAGGGACTCTCAACTGTGTCTGGTGAGTGTGGGGATGTTAAGTCTTTTTCAAAAAAGAACAAAATTTGGAGGAAAAAACACAGGATATCTGGCAAATGTAAGAGAAGTGCAGCAACCAGAAATGCCAGGACCAGGGAAGCTCCGTCCAGTGGGGGGAGAACAGCCCGGACAAAAAGCGGCCGAGAGGCCAGGGAGGACCACCCTGGGGGGCGCCTGCTCGGCGCTGACCACCCTTCGTTCACAAACACGGGGAGTGCGAGCACACCGGGGCGGCGCCGGGGGCCCAGAGTGGGCCAGAGCGTCCCTGGGCCGGGCGCCCTGGGGGCCCATAGCCCAGAGGCTGTACGGACTGCGAGCTGACCTCCGCGCGGATGGCAGGGGACAAACAGGTCCCTGGAGTCTGGCACTTCAGGGAGAGGGACAGGGACCGGTGATGACTCCCCGGGGGCCCAGGACCCCGGGCGCAGGTCCTGGCTCTCCGCGGCGTGAGCCACAGCACTCAGCGGCTCCACCCACCGCAGGGCTCCGCCGAGAGCCCAGGGACACCGCAGGCGGACAGCAGCGGGCGCTTCAGGCCCTGCCTGTCCCTGTCCTCCTGGCCAGCGGTCCCCACCTGTCACCCCCCCTCCCCTGTGCCCGTCGTCACAGTGCGGGCTGCGACACTGGACGCTCCACCTCTCCCTCTTCTAGTCCGACGTCTGAACCGGGAAGGGCTTCCCTGAAGCGTCAACTACAGAAAGCGACGCTTGGGGCGGGGACCAAACACGAGCCTAAGCTCACCTGCTCCCGGGGGGCTGCCCCACGTCCGTGGACAGGAGGGAGCGGACACGAACACCAGGCGTCCCGCCCGCCAGCCTCGCCGGCGGAGGACGCCCACCTATGCCCGCCCCGCAGATGCGGCGTGGGGCCAGCAGCAGACCACACTCGCAGGGGAGCCTCGGCCAGTGTGGCCGGGCCCGGGAGGGAGCCGGCGGACACGCACGGTGAGTCGTGTGGGGGTGTGAGGGGTGTGTGACCGAGTGTGTGACCAAGTGTGTGGGGGTGTCAGTGTGCACACTCAACTCATGGACACGTCCAGGCGCCACGACTAAGTCAGCTGCCCAAGCGCCCGCACTGCTCTAAGGACTGAACTCATGACCGTGGGACCCTCACGACGACCCCCACAGGGGGCCCGAGGGCCAGGCGGTTGTGACGGCTCCGCCCCACAGCCTGCTGGGAGCCACCGGGCAGCCACCCCTGCTGTCCCCCCGCAGGCAGCTCTCCGGAAGGACGGCGCTCACGCGGACGGACGGACGGACAGACACGTGGCCGGCGCCCTCACCCAGAAACATGGAGTTGATGGTGAGGTCCCGGCGCTCGGCGTCCTTCTGCCAGTCGGTGGTGAACTCCACCTCGGCATGCCTGCCGTCGGTGACGACGTCGATCCGCAGCGTGGTGATCTCAAAGTTCTCGTTGTGCAGCTGCAATTGGACACGTTCTCGAACGTTAGTGTTGGGTGTCCCTGGATGGACAGGTTTTTTAAAACCATACACCCTTCCTAGCTAGAGGGGACGCGTCTGACCTACAAAGCGGCCCTCGGACGCGGGAGGGGGGCAGGGAGGAGCCCTTCGACGGCGCCCTCGGACCCTTCCCTTCCGACCAGGCTCCTCCCACAGCCGCTCCGCAGACCCGGCGTCCATGCCTGAGGCCTGAGCCCTGAGCCCTGGTGTACGGAGCGGGGACCACGGTGCTGAGCCATGACCTGGAGGGCCGTGCACACAGGCGCACACGTGAGCACGAGCCGTGGAGAGAGGGGGACGCGTGGGAGGGACCGTACGCCCACATGCGGTGAGCACTGACTGGCACGAGGGCCCAGCGGGAGTCGGAGCCCCTGCGGGGGGCCCGAACGCCACGCACCAGCCTGGAAGCCTGTTCCGGAACTCCTGTCTGCCAGGTCTCGGGGAGCAGAGCCTGGCTGAGCTGAGCCGGGACAGCCCTCACAGGTCCCGGGGAGGGGGTCCCCGCCCTGCCTCCACGGCTGACACAGCCAGCGCTCGGGCCCGAGTGAGGGGAGGACACCATGTCCCACGTGCGGCTGCCTGAGGCTTGGGCCCGTCAGATCAAGGGCGGCACCCGGCAGCAGGCTGTTGGGGGGGGGGCAGAGGCGGCGGCCCGGGAGCCGTGCGGGGGGCCCCCGGTGGCGGTGGCGGGTGGCAGACGGGGACCGCCCAGGTGCGGGCCTGCACCGAGGACTGGAACGTGGCCGCTGGGCTCACCGACTGTGACCGTGGGATGGCCCCGGAGGAGCTGGGGACACTCACGCCGAAAGCGCGTCACAAAAAGCGCCATCCACTGCGAGGAGCCCCAGAAGCGTGGTTACAACATGCCCCCTGGGGTGGACCCCCCAACGCTGATTTAACCCAACACCAGGGGACCCCCGAGACGCCGCTGCAGTGGGTGTGGGGGAGGCCGCACCCCCTCCCTCCCCGGCCGAAGGTCAGGCCACAGAGGCGCCCGGCAGCTGCCCGCTCACCCGGGCGGTGATGGTGCCGTGCTTCTCCCCCTTGTTGTTGACCATGCGCACGCCGGCCGCCTGCAGCAGCCCCTTCATCTGCTCGGGCGTGGCGGGCGTGGCGAAGTCCACGTCCTGCGGCTTCACCCCGTTCAGCAGGTCCCGCACGGCGCCGCCGGCGATGCGCAGCTCGTGGTTCTCCTTCTCGAACAGCTCTGGCGAGAGAGACACCTCCGTTTCCGCGTGTCTCTGGGGAGCGGGGCGGCGGTCCCCATGGGGAGTGTTCCCCGTGGTGCTCGGGCCGGCCCGCACCACAGGGGGGACGCGAGGGCCTCCGTGGAGGTCACCTGCGCCATACGGGGGAGCCCCCGGCCGGCGGGGGTTTCAGGGTCTCACTCTACGCCGCAGAACCGGCCTGTCTTTCCTTGTCCCAACCCACACCCGAACCACCTGTCCCCCCCTTCTCAGGGGGACCTGCCCGCAAGCCTGGCTCACGCCAGAGCTGAACCGCGGTATCCCAGCTTAATAAAAAGGGGGCTTTACTGGAAAGAATTTTTTTAAAGATTTCCTTTCTTGGAGACAGGCATGCAGCAGAACAACGGCTAGTGATGACAGCTTGACAGCTACAGAGTGTGTGGGAAGACAGGGCACTTGGGAACTGTGAGAGTGGCACGATTTTACCCTGACCTAAAAAGTCACCCGATTCATGAACAGGAGAGCTGCTCTAGGGACAGGCTAACCCAGCAGAGTCATCTGAAAGCAGCAGCTCCTCCACCTTCTGTGCATTGGGAGTAACGGAGCAGAGCTCCCTTCAAACCCTCTAGCTGCCCCTCCTCCCCAGAGACTCCCGTTCAGGAGGTCAGGTGAGACCCGGCCCCGGATGCTTCCCAAGCTCCCCCGGTGGGCCCGGTGGAAGCCAGGGTTGCACTGCGCAGCGCAGGTCCTGCCTCCACATACGAACACCCAACACGCTGCTGGAGGTGCTGCCCACACGCCACTGCCCTCGACAGGCAGCGGGGTGGCTGCTCCAGAGAGAGCAGCAGCGACCCTGAGGACAACGCAAGGGGCTCAGGCTGGGGAGGAGGTGAGGCTGCCTCCTGACGCCTTCGTGGTAAGGTCTGCACGCACCCTGGGCAGGGGACACTGGTCTCTCCTGGCCTTCAAGTTCTGGAAGGCACCTGATCCCAGGGAAGGGACAGGCGGAGCCCAGCTGCGCAGGTGTTCCCGTGTGAACGCTGGTGGTGCCTTCCACACCCTCATCCTCCAGCCCGGGAAACCTCCCACCTGCTCCCTAAGGTAGTAGCCCGATACGGGATGGCAGCACTTAGCACGCAGAGAACAGCACGCTTTTTACCGGTCACTTCTTGCCTCGTCTGGTAACTTGGCTGTAGCTCTGGACTGCCCATGGCCGCGCAGGCCTCTTTCAGTAACAGCCCGCCCCCACGTGGTTGAAACGCGAAACACGTCCCCTGCCGCAGGTCCCCCAGGCTTCGCAAGCAGAAGACAGCGGAGTCTCACCGGTGAGGCTCTTGAGCCCTTCCGTGAACAGGGACTGGAACTCCGGGGACTGCAGCTTCATGGTGAACAGGTGTCGTCGCTCCAGCAGGCGCAGTCCAGCCCAGCCACCGCTCGGCCGCCAGCGGCGCAGGCACCTCAGCATCTGCGGCACAGACGTGCGCGCACAGGGACGGGATTTAAAAGTGGCGGGAAAGAAAGGGGCGCCCCGCGATTTTCTGTGTTGCCCAGGAGACGTTTCTCTCTTGTTCGGAGGGAAAAGAGTAGGGGCCGGTTGGGGGGCTACGTTCCGGGGCGGGGGGCTCCCGGGGCAGGGCCGGGGCTCCCAGAGGTCCGCTCACCGTCGCCAGACCCTCCGAAGGCGGCCGCCCGCTCAGTGACTCGCCCTCCCAGGGGTGAGCCAGGGCAGGTCAGCCTCGCTCCCCACCCCACCCGTTATCTCTGGCCCAGGGGCTTCCCAGGGCTTGGGAGCCAGGTGAGTGTGCGGGCCGTGCAGCTCCCCGTCCCCGCCCCGCCCGCGGCTCGCCGCAACGCAGCGTTTCCCTCGCCAGGTGGCCTCGGCGGCTGCTGCAGCGGGAACGGCCGGAGGACCACTACTGTCGGTGGAAAGCGCGTGTCGGGGGCGGCGCTGCCCGTCCGGCACCAGGGACCGTCCCAGCCCGCCGCAGGACAACGCTTGGCCTCCTCCGCCTCCCCTTCGGACAATCCGCGGGGACCGTCCCCGAGGCGGCGGCACCCACACCAGGTGGCGAACGGAGAGGCTCAGCGAGACCTCGGGGACCCGGCGGCGCGCGGGGCAGAAGGTGTCTGGGGACGCCCGGCACGCTCCGTCGGGTTCTGGTGCCCAGGGCGGACGAGTCCGTCGCTACCCTCGGCTGTCTGTCCCGAGGGCTGGCCCCGCGTACGGACGGCCGGCAGTTCCCGGGCCCGCTCCCACCGCCCCCTCCCGGATCCCCCTCCCGCTCACCCGCCCTGCCGCCGACGTTGCCCGGGACGCACTTCCGGGCGGCGGCCTTCGTGACGTCACTCACGCGCGCCTGCTGACGGCCAATGGGAAGCGCCAGAAAGTCGTGGGCGGGGCCTGGAGGGCTCCCTGACTCGGAGGCCCGCGTCCGCGCACGCGCACCGGGGAGGGGGGCTCTGTTTTGGTTATTGGTCTCCGCGCCTCTCGCCCCACAGGTAGTGGGCGCTCGGCTGCGTGGCGCTCCCGCGTTACTCTGTGGTCCGCTGTGAGACGCGACTCTCCACACCTCCCAGCGTTTACCACGGCTCCGTAAATGCTGGCTTGCGTCTGCGCGCTCCCGGAGTCGCACGGGACTCTGCATTGGAGGAACGCAGTCTTTTTTTTTTTGTAATTTTTAAAAAATATTTTGCCATTTTTATTTTTTTAGATCTTGTTTTCTTTTTATTACTTTTAGAGAGGGAAGGGGGGAGAGAGAGAGAAAGAAACATCAATGTACGGTTGCTGGGGGCTGTGGCCTGCAACCCAGGCATGTGCCCGGGCTGGGAATGGAACCTGCGACACTTTGGTTCGCAGCCCGCGCTCCATCCACTGAGCTACGCCAGCCAGGGCAAGAACGCAGTCTTGAAAGTGATCCCAACCGAAGACACAGCTTGAAGCCGGAAGCGAGGCGTTCCAGGCGTCCTTGCTCTCACTGGAGCCCTCCAATCCCTCGACATTGCTGGGCCTCTTTCACGTCCCCACCTGGTTTGGGAAACCATTCCCTTTCCTGGTCTGCGGGCTTTTGCAGATGTAGAGTGCAGAACGTGCCTTTGGCTCGGCTCTCACTTTCTTCCGAAGCAGGGCACGGTGACAAAAGTGGCACAGGGCTGGGAGGACAGCCCTAGATCCTCCAAGTGGGACGCTTCCGGGTCACTCCACCTCTTATCGAAGGAAATAAACGAGCTCAGCATCGTATACATCTTATACATTACACACATACTGTGTTTTAATGTTTTTAAAGCCGTCTCAATACAACTTGACCTAATTCCTCTAAAATGTTCCTAAAAAAATCTGCGTGCCATGGTATTTCTGTGGCTTCCAATGAGCAACCCCTTGTCTTCAGATGTGTTAAGTGTCCCGTTCTGAGAAGCCATACAGAGACACAGCATGGATTCCAGGAAAGAGGACGTACATCCTGCACTGTCCCAACCAGACTGACCAAGGGAAAACACAGAAGATTCATTGTAAAGGAGTCTATCAGCACAGATATGAACAGAATAAAGGCAGGTAGTATGGACCATTTTACACTAACCAGTTTGACATTGTAGGTGAAAGGCACAAATTCTTAGAAAAAATGCAACTGTTCAGAACTGAAACAAGCTGAAATTTTAAAATCTGAATAGCTCTTTACTATTAAAGAAATTGAATTTTGTTCCACAAGTTTCCCACAGAGATAATTCCAGGCCCAGATGGTTTCAGTGGTCAAATTTATCAACCACTTAAGGAAGAAATAACACCGATCTTGCACAATTTTTGTTCAGAGAATAGAAGAGGGAACACGTTTCGTCTCATTTGAGGTCGGTGTGAGACTGATAAGGACACTGAAATGAGTGTTATCAAACATGTACAGAGCAACATAAAAACGAGTATCTTTAGTAAGTAAAATATTAGCAAACTGAATCCAGCAAGTCAGGTTAATCAAGTTGAGCTCATTTTAAGAACGCAAGATGGATTTAACATTTGAAAACCAATCAGCATTATTCACCGTATTAGTAGACCAAAGAGGGAAAACTCTGTGATCATCCCAATAGATGCAGAAGAGAAGCACTTAAAATTCAACACCTATTCACAATAAAAACTCCCAGGAAATTAAAATGAGAGGAATCCCTCAATTTGGTAAAGAGCATCTGTAGAAATGCATGGCTAATACACTCGATGGTAAAGTGTGGGCTTTTCCCCTGACGTCAGCAGTGAGACATGGATGCCCAGCCTCAGCGCTTCCTGTGCAGAGTTCGTAACTGTTAACAATAGGCAAGAAAACGAATAGGTGTAACAATCTGGAAGGAAGCCACAGCATCTTGGTGTTACATGACAATAGTCTGGGCAGAAATCCCAGGAATCAAACAAGCGTTCGAACTAAGAAGTGAATTTTGCAAGGTCATAGGATTCGAGGTGAATATATAAAAATCAATTGCATGTTTATATAGTGGCAGCAAATAGTTATAAATTCTAGTAACTAAACATATAGAGATATGTAGATATACAATATAGGAATGAATGTAACAAAAGCAGTTATATGGTTGGTAATCAAGCATATGTAAAAATATTCAACATCATCAGTCATTAGGGATATGCAATTACTTACTTATTAGTGTGTTTAAATAAAAAAAAACCTGGTGGGGGCGAGGATGTGGAGCGAAGGGAGCCCTGTGCCCCGTAGGTGGGTTGTGGCCACCGTGGAAAACTAGTATGGACAATCCTCCAAAAATTAAAAATGGAGCTTTCAGCCCTGGCTGGAGTGGCTCAGTGGGCTGAGTGCCGGCCTGCAAACCAAAGAGTCGCCGGTCCCATTCCCAGTCAGGGCACAGGCCTGGGTTGCGGCCCAGGTCCCCCATGGAGGGCGCAGTGAAAGGCAACCACACATTGATGTTTCTCTCCCTGTCTTTCCCTCTCCCTTCTCCTCCCTCTAAAAAATAAATAAATAAAATCTTTTTTAAAAAATAGAGCTTTCACACAATTCAGCAATTCCACTTCTGGGTACTTATCCAAAGACAACAAACTATTGGGTTGGCCAAAAAGTTCCTTTCCTTGTTTTTCTGTAAGATGGTTCTAGTAGCACTGAATTGTGTTTAACTTCACTCAGAGAAACTTTGTTAGACTGTGTTGTGACAGCTGTCATATCAGCGTGCATTTTTTAAAAACATCAAAATTGTTGAATTTCTGTGTAGCAATTTTAATATTGAAGATGGAAGAAAATTAGCAACAGTTTCAGCATATTATGCTTTGTTATTTCAGGAAAAGTAAAAAAAATTCCAATTTTTTTTTAAAGATTTTATTTATTTATTTTTAGAGAGGGAAGGGAGGGAGAGAGAGAGAGAAACATCAATGTGCGGTTGCTGGGGGTTATGGCCTGCAACCCAGGCATGTACCCTGGCTGGGAATCGAACCTGGGACACTTTGGTTCCCAGCCCGCGCTCCATCCACTGAGCTACGCCAGCCAGGGCTAAAAATGCAATTTAAATACACAAAAAAAGCCCTGTGCAGTGTGCGGAGGAGGTGCTGTGACTGATGGAACGTGTCAAAGTGGTTTGGGAAGTTCCGTGCTGGAGATTCCTCGCTGGACGGTGCTCCGGGGTCGGGCCGACCAGGTGAGGTGGTCAGCGATGCAGTCAAGACGTTAATTGAGAACAATCAATGTTCTACCACAGGGGAGACAGACACACTCAAAACATCCAAATCTATAAAACTATTGGTGAAGATGAAAAATGTGTCTTTTATTTTACAGGCAAAATGAAACTTTTGGGCCAACCCCATATTTACCTGAGAGAGACAAAATTATGTTCACATGAAAAAAAATGTATGTGGACGGTTGTAATAGCCTCATTGATAACCATCCAAACCTGGACATAAATAAACCAACGTCCCCCAGCGGGCGAGTGGACGGGCAAGCGGCGGTGCATTCAGACGGTGGAGCGCCGCTCAGCGACGGGAAGGACTCAGCCACGGGCCGCACAGCCACGGGCCGCACAGCCACGGGTCTGCCCCCGGGTGCAGGGAGCCGCACCCCGGGGCTGCACACAGAACGCCTGTACTCGCACGACCTCCGGGAAGGGCGGAACGGAGGAGGCAGAAGCGGCCAGTTGTTGGTTGGCAGCGACTGGAGGCGGCCGAGGGGTGTCCCCACAGAGGCGTGGGGGAACCGGGGGCATGTGTGGAATCTTCTAGACCTTGTTAGGGTGCTCAGGACATGGGCGTGTAAGTTCGTCAAACACACAGAACAGTGCCCCAAAAAGCGTAAAGTTTCCTGCATGCAAATCAAACCTCAGCAAACCTGACTAAAATATTTTCTCTATACATTACCGAAAAACAACTAGAACATGAAAAAGTTTTTTCAATACGTATTTCCCCCCTGGCTGGGCAGCTCCGCTGGTTAGAGTGTCACCCCAGTACGCCAAGGGTGTGGGTTTGACCCCCAGCCAGGACACAGATGACGGCAAACTGGCCAGTTTTGATAAGGTTTATTTTTTTTTAATGCACGCTGGTAGGACAGCTGTCACAACACAACCGAACACAATTGTTTCGAATGAAGTTAAAGGCAACCAAGCACTGCTAGAGCTGATGCATGGGAAAAAAAAACCCAACCGAACTTTTTGGCAGGCCCGGTATTTTCCGTGCAGACCACATGCCCAGAGGTAAGCAGTACCGTGAATAGACAGGCCACGAGGGCCGGCGGGTGTCTGCCGTGCCGTGGACACCCCACAGCCCCGGGTGCCCTTCTGAGGCTAGAAGGCCACATACTACGAAAAAGGACAGTCGAGAAAATGGGATAAATCCGGGTAGGAAACATGCGTGGACATGCACCGTGTGCGCCTGCTGCAGGCTGGACCGGTTCCTGCTTCTCTCTGGAAACCTCTCTCTGCGGACCGGGCCCGCCCTTGGGCTAGCTGAGGGTTCCCCCGGGAGCGGACAGCTCTCATCCTTCTTCACAGCGAGTACGCCCTTTGGCTCCGATACTTATATGCATCTTGTGGCCAAAATGTGGCTCCCGAAAATGTTCAGTCGTCTCTCCGTTCATCGGAGTGTTGGTGGTGCTCCTTTGAAGCCCATTCGCGTCTGCAAACCAGACAGAGACGTGCAGGCCGGGGCCCACAGTGGTGGCCGTAGCACCGCTCCGCCTGGTGTCTGCTGCGCGCCCCTGGCACGTGGGAACTCCCGGCACGGGGCCGGCTCCCACCGAGCCCCCCGTGCGCCCGGAGTAGTGCCAGGCATCGCAGGAGCTCCTCGGTCCCCGCAGACACGGCAAAGCATTGTGCCAGCGGGGAAACTGAGGCACCGGGAGGCCCGTGTGTCTAAGGTCCCGCAGGCAGGCAGCGCAGCAGCAGCACCGCCGCCCCAGCGTTCTGACTCCCACCCCGCTGGAGAGGGGCAGGGGGCGTCCTGCAGGGCCCGCACGCCACGCGACGGCACTCGGGTTTCATTTTCACGGGACTGCAGAGACACGGAGGGCGTCTCCGCGGGGGTTTCACGAGTCCCTTCGAGTCTCCTGCCGTTCGCAAGGCGGCAGTGTGGGCGGAGCCAGCAGGACGGCCATGGCGCGCGGGGCGTGGCTTCCCATCCCGCAGGTCACCGTGCGGGAGGTCAAAAGTCTCTCGTGGGTCCGCAGGGCTGCGAACGTCTGCGGGCGCGTGGGGGAGAGTCTGTTCCTTCGTCTTTTCCAGTTTCTAGAACGTCCCCCCTCCACCCTCAAAGCCCTCCCCGTGCCCCCCTCTCCTCCCCGAGAACCCTGCTCATCCTCCCACCCAGGGGTCCTCTGCTCCATCACAGCCCCAGAGACACGTTCACGGGCTCTGGGAACTTGGGGGCCACGATCCAGCTGCTGCCACCCCCGAGCGAGGCTGCACCGTAAGGATGGGGGGGGCTGGGGGAGGGGGCGGCACAGGGACACCAAGGACCATGGTTTACAGACCCACCGATCGGCCACGTGGGCCACCGTCCGCCGCGCCCACCCCAGTGAGTGGTACTTCCTGCACGTTGGTTCGCGGCTGGGGTTTCGGCGGACGGCTCGGTGGCAGGTGAAAACAGCGCCCCCTTCAGACCCCAGGTGCCCAGACCCCTGCCGGGGCCTCACTCCGGGAGCCCCCGGGGTCAACGACCCTGACACACGGCTGCTCCCGCCAGCCTTTGCACACAGGACAGAGCGGGGGGTAGAATGACCTACGGACGGAGACGAACTTAGGGCGACAGCGCCAGGCCTCTTGGGGAAGGCCGTCGAGGCAGCGTTCAGACGAGTGAGACAGAAACGCCCGTGGGACCTAATTTTAGTGTCTGCACGTGTGGAGGGCGGGGGCCCGTCCTCGGACCCCGCACCCCGCCCTGTTTTTGTTTTCTGCGAGACTGACTCATTTGTTTAAAAGAACGCGTCCTGTTTCCAGAATGTGTTCTTTGTTTGAAACAACAAAAAGTACCTGTTTGAGGAAACAGCCATGCACGCGCTTCGCTCTCGTAGGAGTTTCATGGGGGCCAGCTGCAGCCGGGGGTCCCCGAGAGGGCACGCACGCAGCTAGGAGCCTCTCCGCACGGGAGGGCAGGGCGCTCCTGGGTGCCCGGGGACACACACGCCGATGCAGCGTTGTCTTACCTTTCAGAGAGGGGAGCGCGGACACGCATCAGTTCTTCTCGGTGTTCCGAAATTTCATACTGGGTCATTGATTTTAAGAGATGGGACTTCGATACTAGTGACAAGAACAGCGGCCCCAGGGTAGAGACAGAATAAATAATCACCTTCGTAACTGTGGCTTGTCGCCGGCCTCGGGTCAGGACCACGAGGGGGCAAATCGGACCCCCCTCCGGCGGGTGGTCTCCCCCGCTGGGGTCTCCGTCAGATCCGGGTGAGCGTGGACTTCCCCGTCAGCACCACGCAAGGCCTCCTCCGTCTTCCAACTGTGTCCACCTGAGGGTTTGACAAAGCCAAGCTGAGCAAAACGAACACCCGCCCTCACATCTAGTGGTGGACACAGAGATAGACGTAATGTTCGGCGCGGTATGAAAATAAAACACAGACAAGTGCGTGCTGCAGTGCAGTGAGGGGGGCGGTGGGGGCGCGGGTGGAGAGAGAGATCTTCCCACAGAAGATGATGTTCAGGCTCGATCTGAAACAATTTTAAGTTTCTCAAGAGGAAGCCCACCCCCACCCACCAGATAACTTGTTTAGTCCCTGTTCAGTACTTGTTAAGATTGTTTCTTTTAAAACGTTGTAACAGTTACAGAACCCATGTGTCCCAGACGCTAGGCAGTAGCGAAGATCACAGAGCAGCCGAGCTGAGCTCCCGGAGCCAGGGGATTCCTGAGAAGGGTTATGGGTCATGTGCCGCTGGAGCCCCTGGTGCCAAACGAACGACAGATGCTTGGAACGAACTTGAACCCGGCCTGCAACCTGGAGCCCGGCCAAGTGCCACCGGAGCCCCGGTCAACACTCAGACACTTGAGCAAAGAACAAATGCTTATCACCGCTCACCACGCCGGGGTCTGTGGCTGGTGGTTCTGTGGCAACAGCGGACTAATACACCTACCACGCAGAGATAGCCAGGCTGATCAGTTTGGCCATTTGACAGAAAAAAAAATGAGATTATGAAAAAATTATACACAGAGACTCCTGTTTTTACTTAACATTTCCCCATAATACCCAGTGTTTCAAAATGAGTGATAAACACTTATTATCCACACATTTAAACCTTTAAATTACACATTCTTCTGAACCATGTTTATGTTACTTTTACTATTACAGGAAAAAACACAATGAACTCACGCCCTCTGCCTCCTCACATGAACTTCGGTCTCCATTTCATGCTGTTTCCGCGGAGTGGGTTTCCAGAAGCAGAGACCGTTAGGAGCTCTGACCCGGAGGTCCAGGCGGACCCACCGAGCCCCGATCCGCACACATGACCCCCCTCACATCCCCATCTCTGCGGTCCAGCCAGACCCAGGCTGCCTCACTTCCCAGGAGACACCATCCCATCGGATTTCCCTTCACAGGAAACCATCTTTCTGTTTGTGAATTCTTGCAGCCTGTTCCGAAACCATCTCTGGACACCCACAGTTTATTCTGAAGAAGTGAAGAGCCGCCACAAAAGAAAAAAATACCCGACACGAAGCCACAGCTCTTGTTTTCCTCGTGCTCCTACGGAAACAGGGTGCTGGGGGTCAGAGTGTGCGCGCTCCTCCTGGCACCGGTGCTGGTGGCAGAGCGTCACCCACCCGTCTGCACGGGGGAGCAAAGTCAGGTCCCTCCTTGCATCCGGGACAGACTGGGCCCAGGGCTGGGTGCGCTCGGCAGACACCTGCCTGCCCAGTCGGGAATGTCGGAGAGCTCCAGCCGGCTTCACCGCCCTCACTACAATCAAACACCATTTTTAAAAAAGATTTTACTTATTTATTTTCAGAGAGGCAAGGGAGAGAGAAAGAGAGAGAGAGAAACATCCATGTGCGGTTGCTGGGGGCCGTGGCCTGCAACCTAGGCATGTGCCCTGACTGGGAATCGAACCTGTGACACTTTGGTTCGCAGCCCGAGCTCCATCCACTGAGCTATGCCAGCCAGGGCTCAAACACCATTTTGAAGGCTTCCACAGGGACCAATATGTGACACCTGAAATTAGGTGTGTGGGAATTTGAAGAGGAGGCCGGGTGGCTGACGCCGTACCTAAACTTTTCCGGGTGCTTGGTAGCCAACGGTGGCTCTGTCTCTGCTCCTCCTCCCACGTCCCCTTCCCCTAAGGACCCTCACCTCCTTAGGGCATGGGGGCGCACTGGTTTGGGCTGCATTTTGGCAACCGTGAGGCTGTCACCTTGGGGAACCCAGAACACCCGCGGGACGTCCGCTCAGCCTTCTGGGAGCCCCGTCCAGGGTGCCCACGGTTTGCCGTCTTGCAGACAGGAGCCGGATCCCACCTGGCGACACGCCCCCCGCGTCTGCTCTCAGGGCCCCTGGGTCCCCCGCTCCCACGTCTCAGCGCCGGCCGAGGGGCGCCGTCGCTCGACCCCGGGCCGAGGCTGGGGAGCCCTTTCCACACGCAGCGGCCACCCCTGCCTCCGCAGCTTCATCCGCCAAGAGCGTCCGCGTCCGCCTGTGCCAGGCCCCGGCGTTCGACCGGTCAGCCTTGCTAGTCCAGCCCCCAGAGACCCCCCAGACAGAAACGGGGCGCAGGACAGGCAAAGCCGGCCAGGTTTACTTACATTGAAACATACCGAGGGCCGCGCGGAGGGGTCTGTCTGGAACAGGAGGGAAGGTCCTGGGGGTGGGGGGTCCGAAGCCCCCCGTGGCCACTGTCGTCGCTGTGTGTCTGGGGCACGTCCAGGCTGCAGAGGCCGCCCCTCATCCCGCCCAGCCCCGGGGACGGGCAGGGGAGCCCCGGGGCTGGGGGGGGGGGGTGCCCAGCTGTCACGCTGGCTGGCTCCTGCTCCTGGGGGTGGGGGTGGGGGTGCTCGCGGGAGCCTGGTGCCAGCCCATCGCGGAGGAAGCCGCGGCCGGTCCTCCCCGACCTCCTCGTCCTCCCCGTCACAGCTGCGATGATGTAACCGTGAAGAAGAACTGCCTCCCAGTCAGAACGTGCCCGAGATAAGGGCCCTCGCCAGTGCCCTGCGGCTGCTCCGGAGCGCGGCCGCCGCTCTGCTCCGTGAGCGGGGTCCCGGCGGGCGCGGGGCACGGGGCGCCCTGCGGGGCTCTGCAACCAGGCCCTGGGCTCCCTGCGAACAACCCCTCGGCCTGGGGGAGGGGGAGCAAAAGTGAGAAGTCACGATTTGTGAATATATGACCAGCGTTTCAAGCAAAAGGGGAAATAAAACCCACGGGGTACTCGTCGGGACAGAGCGGATGATAATGGTGCTATGAAAGGCCCCCGGGTCTGGTGACGTGGCTCCTGAGCAGGGCGCCGTGGTCCGCGGAGCGGCCGGGCGGCGGCGGTGTGCAGGCCCGTGCGAGGTGAGTCACAGCGGAACGGCACCCGCGCGCGGCTTTGCGCGGGCTTGGGGAGGGGCCCCACTCCGCCATTCCGGACTCTTCGGGGGCCGACATGAGAGCGCAGTGTCTGCCAGGATCTCCCAAACAGCATGTGAGTTTAGAGAGCAGGGCGTAGGTAGGATGCAAGGAGACAGCCTGGCGGGGAAGTCTCAGGGCGAATTGGGAAAGCTCCACGCAAGAAAGTGTGCCACGAAGACGGCGGCCTGTAGCGCGTAACCGAGTCCCTCGCCCCGACTTGTGCTTCTCTCTCGGGCTGGGGGCAGGGCGGCCGTCTGGAAGTCTTGGTTTTGTACGAAAGCTATGGGGGTTTGCTGAAAGATCTCCCTCGGTGTTAGGTTGACTAGTCTACTTCTTTGTCCAAAGCACCATAAATATATTTCTGTGTGCCCAGAAAAAGTGGATGGAATGAGAAAGAAGGAAAGAGACAGAAAGGGAGAAATCACAATCTCTTAATACTCCGTGAGCCCCAAATTCATAAGCACCTGGGAAGTGGCTGCCGCCTTTATAGGGCGCGCTGATTAATGCGTTTGCTCTTCAAGTCAGTGACGATCGCGCTGAGAATTTTCTTACCTGGTACAGTTTCTACTTCGTGTGAAGGAACATGCCCTCTTTCATCGTTATCGAAAAAATAGACTAATGTATGGGGCTACAGGTTAACAGTTTGTCATTTCAAAACACGATAAAGGTTTGGAAATCAGCTACCTCATTTGTCTTCATTACCTGAAAGGCAAGGCCGCGGGGGCACATTTCCAGGCGGGGGGCCCAAAGTATCACAGTGCTTCCAAGCAGACGGGGTTTGCCCCCTGGCCGCAGCCTGCCGACTGACCTCCGACCTCCGACCTCGCCCGCCCCCGTGCTGGGTGGGTGTTGCCCCCCCCCCCCCCACACACACAGCTCGTCTTGGTGAGGAGCCTGCGTTAACTTTCCTGCTGTCTGTTCAGGGTCGGCCCCGTGTCTCATGCTGCACGGGGCGCTGGGCTGCAGCCACCGCTGGGGCAAGGACATGCCGGACACCGCGCTGACCGTCCACCACTGCGTGCCGTCAGGGGACCCCTAGAGACAGGTACGTTCGGCAGCGGGGAGCGTGGCTGCGGGGTGACTCTGAGCCTGGAGACGCTGGAGCCCTGGGAGAGCGCAGCAGCACCCCCCCTCCCCGGCCCCAGCACTCGGTGGGCGGCTGCCTCCCCGCCTCTGGCGACAAGGTGCTCCCAGGGGTTGCATTTCAAGGGTATTTCAGAAAATTAACCAGGAGTCAAGTAGTAGCAAGAGAAAAAAAAGGGCATGCATTGTCCATGGTCCTCGTTATCCACGGCCGGTGTTTGGAGGGTGCGTGGTGTCAGCGGGGGGCCGCCGTGTGCCTCTCGGAGCGGTCCTTTCCGCTGTCCGCCCCGGCTTCTTTCCCCGTTCCTCGTCCTCCCCCGCCCCGCCTCCGCCCCCAAGAGATACAGTTTATTGCGGATCCCCCTGCGCAGGAAAAAATGAGGAAGTTCAAGTACATGCTTCGCATCTGAGGGCCTAGCAGAGCGTGAATCCTCTGAGCTTCTTTTCGATTCCTGTGCCCGGGGGCCGCGCCTGGAGGGAGCTGTCGCCGCAGCTGACTCAAAAAGACCCTAAAAGTGGTGCCGGGATGACACCGTCGGTTCCACCAGGAAGGCCCCAGGCAGAGCCATGAGCCAAACAGATAAATGAGACGGGCCAGTATTTACAAGTCTGAACTTCAGCAGAATTTGCCCGATTCTCAGGAACATCGGGGAAATTCATGGCCGATGGTCCAGACTTTACCCCCACCTTCTGGAAACGTCTGTAGGGCAAGAGATCTGCTCCTATTTTCTCCCAAGTTAAAAAACAAAACCCATATCTCACACCGGCCAGAAGGCTGGTTCTCAGAGGGCACTCGAGGAATTGCAGGCCGGGTCAGCGGAGCGTGAGCAGGCTCGGGAGGGGGCTGGCAGGCCACCGTCTAGGAAACGGAGCGTGTGTCTCTGGCAAAGCGGGGCCGGCGGCCGTGTCCGGGCCCCTCGGCCTCACTCGGGTCTTGTTTTACCAACCAGTGGGTGGGCGTCTGCTGGGTCTCAGCGGGCGGCCGCCAGAGGAAGAGTGAGTTGAACGCATTGTCCTTTCGATGTAATTTTAAGCTGGTCAAGGAGCCCTGTTCTTGCACAATGAAACACCGCCCAGCTGACACCTGTGAGGAGGTGGCCCAAAGACTCCTGGGTTATTTTCTCCGGCACAGCCTGGGACCCGACTCCAAAGGGGCCGTGGGCACACGCGGGAGGCGCTTTCAGGGAGCAGAGCGAAGAGGGGCCCGAACCGTGGAGCACTCGTGGTCGGGGGCTGGATGGCAGCACTGCCCAGCCCCGTGTGGGGGTGCCCAGCCCCGTGTGGGGGTGCCCAGCCCACTCCCAGTTGTAACTCTCGGCAGCCTTCACACTCCCACTCGAGGGTCTCGCACTGTCTGCAGGACAACCAGCTTTCTCTCGACGGGGGTGTATTTCCAAGACCAAATAGCACGATGACACTCGGGGTGAAAAGGCTAAGGTGATGTTGCATGGCAAAGTAGATGAACCCTCAAAAACGTTTGAATGATGCCCTTTGGAAAATAGTTCTATTTTCAGCATCAAAAAATGTGTGAATGATAAAATTTGGAAAATAGTCCAAATTTTGGAAAATAGTCCTAAATTTGGAAAATAGTGCGAAACTGGGGGATAAGAACACAGGACGGATTCTCGGAGAGGGCTCCCGGTTCTGTGAAGTATTCGGTCCTCTCCCCGCCGAGATATTTGACGGTCTCACTGCTTACTTCAACAGTTTAATTGCCAAGAATAAACAGAAACTGATCATTTTTACAAGAATGATGGTAACAAAGTATCTACTTTGCCAGTCAGTAGAAGTCACGAGGGAATACCAATTTTGCATTTTTGTTCTGACCTAGCATTGCCCCTGCTAATGAAAATTAGGGCAAAGACAGAGCGTATATAATATCACTTCAGGAAATGCTGATATTTCAAAACATCACCTTCTTAACTTAAAGAGGAAGCTGTCTTTGTTGTTGTTTGTTAGGGGATTTTCATCTTCGCTTCTCAGGCTTCATAAATACTAATGCTTCCCTTTAATTCATGAACAATCTCACTTTTTGAAACTTTAAAAAATGCTAAAATATCGGCCTTTGTTGTCGTTGATTTATACATTCTTGTTCTACCCAGCGTGGAATCGTTAGAGAGAAAAAAAAAACAAGATTATTTTTGATCAAAAGTGGCATAGCTCTGATTAGCAATACTTAAGTTTATTTCAGAAAGAAATCGAGTAACCGGTAAGTGGCTTCTGTCTTCTGTGTTGGGACATTTTCCCAGTGCCACTTGTAAGTTGAGCAGGGAGTTAGGTGAGTAGTAAGTGAAGGGGTGATAATGAAGAAAGGGAGTTTTGGGTGTTTCCTGAAGGTATCCAGCTAGCCCATGTGCAGCTTCTGTGGTCCCACCAGAAGTTTATCTGGGAAACACTTTGTAAACCACTTAACATGTTAAACTGAAACAATGACAGTCATTTGAACGAGTACAGAACCTCGGTTTTGCTGTTGGAAGATCCGAAATGGGGGTCAGGGTTTCCGTTCTGCACCAGCTGTTTGGTCTTTGCGAACGAGTCTTGTAAATTGGGTAATACTGCCCCCCCCCCCGCCCCGCATCAGGATCAGTGGGGGGCCGGGGCGGGGGGGGGGTGCGGGGAAGCAGGACGGTCTGACCTGGAGGAGCTGGGGCACCACACACCAGGCGGCTTGACCCTCAAAGTTAAGTTCCCGTGAAAACGGCTTTTCCGACTCTGCTGAGGAAACACTCAGGAACTCTAGCGACCAGCTCCCAGCAAGAGACCCCGGGCTGTCTTCCCGGACCGGGGGGAGCAGCTGTGGAAGGGACCTCGCCACGCTTTCGCGCTTCGGGGTGGAGGTTTCCACTCTCGATTCGTCTCTGTCGCCCGGGGGCTGAGGCGGGGAGAGACGGGCCTGCATGTTCTGCAGGCCCACGCCTGGGTCCGCGGGCCCTCCGGTGGAGCGCCTGCTCCCACTCGGGTCGCCCCGCCGCCCCGCAGCTGGAAGCGTCGCCGCGTCTTGTGCACTCCGGCACGCATGCCGCTTTCCCGCGTGGGAGTTGATTTAAGTTTCAGCTTCTCGCCCCAAGGGCCCGTCTTTCAATTCTCACTCACGAGAATGGCCGTGGTGTTTATTTTCCACGTGGTGAACCGCGCCTAGCACGGCTCCTGTTCTCGGGGCCGCCCTGGGACCGCTGTCCGCTCCTGCTCGCTTCCTCTCCCCGGCTGCGCCCTGGCGGTGTCGGCCCCCCCCCCCGGAGCACGGGAGGGGTCCCCTCAGAAGCCCCTCCGCTCCCGCCGTGACCCACACATACCGGCACCGGAGCAGCATCGGCGTGGGTGACAGTGGGTGTTTCCATGTCCTCCTGCGCCTTGGACGAGATTTGCTCAGATTTGTGTTTCTAGCGCGTCCCAGATTGCTCGTAACTGTTTGCTCGCCGGCCAGGGGGCTGCATTTGACTTCAGGAAACAGCTGCCAGCGTCTCCTCCAACCCCCACCGCCCCCCGGGGTCTCCTTCTCCTTCTGCAGGACCGGCGCCATGGCGCCCGCGCTGCTGATCCTGCTGGGGGCCGCGGCGATCCTCCGAGCCGACGGGACCCCTGACGACGGTGAGTGCCGCCTGTTCTCACACGCAGTGATGGCTCCTAAAAACCTGAGCGCGTGACAAAGGTGCCGGCATGGTTTTCCGCCCCGTGGCCCCTCCGCTGGGAAATTCTGTGTGGGTTTTCTCTAAAGGGGTGGGATGGCCGTCCGCGTCAGAACGCCAACTGGTTTGGCGTGCTGGGTCGTGAGAGCGTGAGGCTGGCCGAGGGGCAGACTGGCGCTGCCCGGGGCGGGGGGGGGGGCGCTGTGCCAGGGTGGGTGCACGGGCCCCACAGAATAGAGCACCCCCCCCCGGGATAAGGCTGGAGCTGGTGGCCCCTTGGGGACGTCTCTCCAGCAGGGGAGCACTGAGGAGGCCACACGCCCCAAGGACAATGACCTCCCCCTGTGTCCGGCTCAGACATGTGTCGGTGGGTGGGTTTGGTGTGGAGACCCCAAACTGAAAACTGTCACAGGCCCCCGCCCTGTAGGGTCCGAGAGGACTTCCTCCGGCAAGGCCAGTGGGCCGTGCCTGCCCTGTCCGACGCAGGGGCCATAGCCGGTGGTGACCACAACTAAGGCCATGAGGGTGTCATTTCTTTAAGTGCACTTAGATTTAAATAGTCGCATGTGGCCGCTGGTGGCCGTGACACACAGTTTGGTGCAGACAGAACCCTAGGAACCCTAGGAGTGAGGGCGGGCCAGTCACAGAGGCCGAGACAGATTCAAGGTCAGTGGGAATACCCTGACCACGCAGTAGTCGAACAGAAGCAGGTTTCATAGCTGTGCCTGTGGTACAATATTCTCCTAATTTTCTTTAACGTAAAAGGGGTTATTCACACCCCCTCAGGGGTAAAGAAATGCGTCACATGCTAGTCCCATTTGCAGTGGTAGGATTATAGGTGATTTTTCTTTTCTTTTTCTTTTTTTTTTCTCATCTGTGCTTTCCAAACTTTCCAAAATGAATGAACATTGATTCTGGAATTGAAATAAAAGCTTTTCTTTTGAAGGCAAAGTGAGAGAGTGGTTAACTTATGAAAATTAAAAACAAAACAAAAATAAATCTTTTTCCAGAAATGACTATATAAGTAGTCTTGTCTGCAAAGCTGTCGGACTTTAAATCGTGATAAGAAGTGCATTTTATGTCATGAACCAGCACTCACACAAACTTGTGAGTACAGTTAGAGTGGAAAGGAGAGGTTCATGAAAAAGATTTATTGTAGAAAGTATCTTATGACAGTTCGGTGCACGAGGCAGGACTTCGATGTCTTTTCTGTTCAGTTTTCTTCTGAGTCAGGAAAAACCATGATTAGCCACAGACAGACACATTGTCCCAGCCAATCAGCAGGTAATGGCCCTCAGTTTGAAAACCGTGGTTCTAAAAAACCACTTACAGTAAAACATTCATACTGCAATTAAAAATCTGTAGGTGCTATAGGCACATACTTAGGCAAAGTGAAAAAAAACAGAAGATAGCGAGTTAAACACAGCTGTGACCCTGGCCCGAGTGGTTCAGGTGGCTGGGCGTCATCCTGTAAACCGAAGGGTCGCTGGTCTGGTTCCCGCTCAGGGCACAGGCCCGAGTTGCGGGTTTGGTCCCCAGTTGGGGGGCGTGCGAGAGGCAACGAATCGATATTTCTCTCTACATCGATGATTCTCTCCCTCCTTTTCTCCCTTCCTTCCCCTCTTTCTAGAATCGATAAAAGACAAAAAAAAATTAAGGCAGCTTTAAAAGAAAGTCCTCCAAAATTATTTCAGTATTATACCTTCTAATAGCCATAATAGCCAGGATCGTGCGGTGCACCGTGAAATAGTTTACAACTTTAAAGGGTGCCACTCTGGACCACTGACCCTGTGTGACCTCTTTTTTTTTTTCCCTCGGTCAGTTTCACTTCTCCCACCTGTCAATTTCACCATTAAAGTGACCGGTTTGGCCCAAGTTCTTCTCAGCTGGAAACCGAATCCTGACCAAGAGGGAAGGGGCGTGCAGCTGGGCTACCACCTGAGGGTCCACACCCCACAGGACGATGACGTGAGTCCCCCCCCCCCGGACACCCGCCCCTCTTCAGAGCGAATGCTGACGTTGACGCGTTTTCCTTCCCGAAGGAAGTTTCCACTGAGCAAAACGGCCGAGACGGCCGAGCACCTGTGCCTGCAGGTCCTCAGCAGCCCGGGACGCTGTAACTCTGGGACCACTCTTTCTCTTAAAAAAGCAACTTTAGCACCTTCTGAGGTACAGGAGATTAGACGTGGGTTCTGTCTTCACTAAAATAGCCAGAAAAACAAAACAAAAGCAAACACAAACAACCCCAGAAGAGGTTGGCTAAGGAAGATGGGAGGACAGCAGCTGACCGAATCCCGGCTCCTACGCTGGCAGCCTTGACCCTGGACACGTCCATCTCGGGGCCCCGGGTTCCCTCTGGGGTCACGCTCAAGCACCTGGAACCTAGCAGGTGCCCGATACAGTGAAACAAAGGGCGGGCGAAGCGGCTGCCGGGCACCGAGTGTTTTTCCGTCAGCAGGGAATTCTAGGGAATTTTCTGCCGCAGAGTCAGCCGTGGGAGAGACTGGGAGGGGGACACGGTCAGAGGGGGCTGGAGCCTTGTTTGCAAGCTTTTGTTTTTTTAAGAAGAATGTGTTTGTGTATCGTAGAGGAATAGATTATGATGTTTTCATTATACTGTTTTTTTTTTTTTAGAAAAAACATGAATACATGCTAGAATTGGGTAACTTGTTCATTTTTAAAAACCACTTTACGGGAGGGTGTAAAAAGCTGTGCACATTTAACGCACACGACTGAGGAGGTGAGGGTTACGTGTGCACCCGTGGACCTGAGGGTCTGATTTCTGTGCAAGCCTATTCCACTGCATTTGATGTGCTATTAAGAACGGGGAGGACACGCACGTCTGCTGAAACCAGGGTTCCCAAGGTCGTTCCCCTGGGGTGCATCACGACCCGTGGGCTCTGTTTTCAGTTCGAACTCAAGTACACCGGGCGCAGGTACGAGGCCGCCCTGCATCGAGGCTTCTCGGCCAGCGTGCGCACCATCCTGTGGGAGCGCCGCCCCAGCCCCGCCAGCCGCTGGGTGTCCGCCGAGCTGAGCGCCCTGCCAGGTGAGCCGGCTTCCGAGGGCCCCGTGGACTCTGGACTCTGCCGGTAGGGGAGGTCGGGGACACTCAGCAATTCGCCCTTCTCCAGTCCTCCCCCAGGCCCCCCCCAGGGTTCCTCTGCATCTCTGACGTCCCCGCCAAGGCCGCCTTCCCATCTTACTGCCCTAACCCACCCCGAAACACCTGCCAGGTCCCTGCAAACGCCCCTCCCAGCCCTCACTGCCCTGTAGAAGCTCAAAGGGTCATCAGGTCCCTCGTAGGTGGGTCCTGAGGGACCTGCGTGGATTCTCTGCTCTGCTCAGGTGTCTGACCGTGACCCCGAGCGCTGCGCTGGGCACGCAGCCGCTGAGACCGCCCTCCTGACCCCTCTCCCCGGAGTAACCCTGCACCCCAAAGCCCTGGCCCTATTCCTCTCCCCCTGGAATGACCCTGGGCCCCAGTGACAAAAATGACCTTATAACTGACTCACCCTCAGCCAAGAAGACCCCCTTCTGTCACTTGCAGCTGAGTCTACAGGCATGTGCGTGGGTGGGGTCTCCCTGACCCTCAGCCCCCTGCGCCTTTCCGGTCCCCAGAGCACGCTCACGGCCGGTGTCGGCCGCGTGTTCCGAAAGCACCGGACCCCACTGCGCCGGGGAGGCCGAGAGAAAGCAGGGCTTCCCCGTCAAGGAGTCTGGGGAAACCCTGGGCGAAATGAACGTGAAGGCCCCGTTTGAAATCTCCAGTGTCCCTCAGTGTCCTGCCGTGGCAGCTGGTACTGGACCACACCTGCGTGTGTGGTGTCTCTCGGGGTAGAGTTATTTCGCCACGTCCCCGAACTCGCGACCTTCCGAGCAACCATCTGCCTCGTCCAGGACGCCTGTGGTCACAGCCGCGAGGGTGACCAGTGGCCTTGGAGCCCTTGCCCAGCCCAGTCCCTCCTTGGCAGCCGGGAAACCAGGGCCCAGGGTGGGTGGGACCTCGGTGGCCTGGCCAGCTGTTGACAAGTGTGCATCAGATGACCGAGGCCGCTGGACACAGAGCTCTGACCGCTCCGGAACGTCCAGTGAGTCGGCCCCACACAGCCGCCCCCAGCGCAGGGGGGAGCTCTCCAGGGCCGCAAACGCGCCCCCTCCCCCAGGGGGCCGGCCTTTGCGAACAGCAGGTTTCTACACATGCGTGATGACAATCACTCTTCGTAGGTGAAGGAGACGTTCATTCCCAGCCCCTGGGGTTTCCGAGGAAGCTCCGGGTTCAGAGGATGTCACGATCGTTTCTTGTTCTTCTCGTTTTGGACCACCCAGGGTCTCCCGGAACCTCAGCTGTGAACTTAACTTGCGCCACAAACACGGCGGCCGGCGGCCACCCCGACTCCAGGCCCTACCGAGTTTCTCTCCGCTGCGCCTGGCGCGCAGGCGAGGAGGCGCCCGCGGACACGCAGTATTTCCTCTACTACAGGTTGGTGCCTGTCGTCGCCGGGGCAACGGGGTCGTTTCCCCCGATCTGGGAAACTCACGGGTGTCCCGACGCAGGTACGGCTCTCGGACCGAAGCGTGCCGCGAGTACGGCCAGGACGCGCTGAAGAGAAACGTGGCGTGCTGGTTCCCAGCTACCTCCATCGACGGCAAAGGGCAGGACGCGCTGGCCGTGCGCGTGAGCGGCTCCAGCCCTCGGGCTGCCATCAGGCCCTACGACCGGCTGTTCGCCCTTCACGAGATCGGTGAGGCAGACCGGGGTGGGGGCCGCGGCGGCGAGGGAGGGCTGCGAACATTGCCCCCTCGGCCTCCGGTCCTTCCTGCCACTGCAACCACTGGGCCAGGCTCTGGGCCTTGGCGCTGGCACCCGGGGCCGGGTGACCAGATTGTGGGGGCTCTGTGAGCTCCTGGCTCCTGCCCACTGGGTGCCAGCAGCCACCCCTCGCCCCTGCCGACTGTGGCCACAGAAATGTCTCCACATACTGGGTGTCAGGTGTCCCTGCGGGGACAAAGTCTCCCCCAGCTGAAAACCATGAGGCCACTGCTGAGAGATGTCATTCTGTGTCTCAGCAGCTCCCACGGGGGTCAGACATTTCTGCCCGAGGGTCCTGGGTAGATGAGTAACACCCAGTTCCGACCCCCTTGCCCACAAAGCAGGCCCCCAGCCCTCCGCAGGCAGCCAGGCAGCCCGTCCTGAGACCCCTCCTACAACCCTTCTCCACCCCAGTGTGTCCTCTCCTGAGGCTCCTGAGTTTGAATGGCCTCTCTCAGTCGTCTCTCTCAGCCTGTGACCCTCAGATAGAAACCTGTTAGGTGAGGTTGCGTTTGCTCAGGTCTCAGGTAGGAGGCGCTCTCCGTCCTGCCACCTGCGTGCACGCGTCACAGCCGGGAGCCTCTCCCACAGCCGCCCTGGAGACTGACCGCCGGGTTTCAGTGGCGGGGCGGGCACTGGGGTGGGCTGTGGGCTTGTCCCCCGCTTCCCTGGGGACCAGCGAGGGGGCCTCGGACCAGCTGTCCCTGCCCTGGGCCTCAGGCTTATCTGAAAAATGGGAGGCACGAACCCTTCCTACCAGGTTTTGTGAGAGTTAAGTGTTGTTAGCGTTACAAAGCGCTTGGAACAGCAGCTTGCGCAGGCACCCACGAAGTGTGCAAAATGTTGTTGTTTAAAGGTCGTGGATTGGCTGCAGCGTATCCGTGGTGAACGGAGTATAACTTGGTTGAAAGAATCGCAGCATTTACTAAAGAGCAACGTGATTCTAGTCCACAGCCTATGTCTTAGGCGACTTAAACGTGTCACATTCACGACAGGCGGGGATGCCCACGCTGAGGAACTCGGGGAACACTGCAATTGCCGTGAAAACAGACCGAACCTGATACCGACCCCAGGAATCACCCATTTGCTTTACATGACGTTCAGTCCACTGGGGCCGATTCCTCAGATTCCTAAGACAAACGAACACTTTTTTCGGTCACAAACTTTCTCCTTAGGGAGCGGCAGGTTCTGCAGCCAGCGGGTCCCCTCTGAGCGTGTCCCCATGACCCGGTCACCGTGAGGTCTCAACCACCCAGCCTGAGACAGGAACACTCCCCTAGAGACACTTCCCGCCGAGTCACATGGCCCGAGACGGTCGCGCGAGGCCTCAGGGGAGAGGACTCGGTTCTTGTTTTAGAGCGGAGACAAATTTAGCCCGAGGCGCTGTCTCTGTGCAGGGGGCACTAGTGTTTTCCACCCCGGCCAGACCCCCGAGCAAAGGAAACAAAAGCCACAGCCCGAGAGGGGCGCTGCTCGGGGGAAGCAGGGCCTAGTGGGCACTCCGGGGCGGCCGCTCTCCAGGATCAGTTTACCCTCCGACTGGAGCAGTTGAAAGGGGTGGGGGTGGTCTTGCCCGGCTCTGAGGGGGGAGGAGGCCCCACCACTCAGGGCCGGGTGGGGCAGCAACCCCTGACGGCTGCCCCCGGGGTCTCTTCTTCCCCGGGAGGAAGCAGGAGTGTTAGGGCAGCCGCCGGAGCCATGCGTGGGGCCTGGGGTCCGGGCACGCAGCCCTTGAGGGGGATTCCCTGAGGGGTCGGTGGGACCTGTCGGCCCCGCTCACCGGCCTCTGCTTGTCTGACCCAGACCAGGTGAATCCCCCGGGGAACGTCACCGCGGAGATGCAGGGAACGCGCCTCTCCGTCCGCTGGGAGAAGCCGGTCTCTGCCTTCCCGGGCCACTGCTGGGACTATGAAGTGAAGATTTACAGCAGGAGGAGGGACTACGTGCAGGTAATTCTCCAGGCCGCCCCCAGGTGCCATGACGGCGCTCTTTCAGGAAGCTTCTAGAAGTTGTGGGCGGTGACCGCTCTGCTCGCAGCTTGGGACGGAGGAGGTCAAGGTCGGCGCTAACTCACCTCCACCCAGGCGTTAGGGAAACGAACCAAAGCTCACCGGCCCTTTGTCTCGCGAGGAGACTCGTTTAGTTGGGAATCAGGCGGCGGGGGTGGGGGGTGGGGGATCGGATACAAACACCGCACTCCTGACGGCGGGGGGTAGGGGGTGGGGGCAGGGCGCAGAGCTCGGGGGGCATGTCAGACGGCACAGCCACTGGGGGAGCAGCCCGGCCGTTTCTCAAAAGTTAGGGAATCACCGCCCGACCCAGTGCCCACCCTCGCGGCCAGTCGGTGGCGCAGTTGCCGCTCCCTTTTCCCGGGACGATGGGGCCCGGAGGACGAGGGCACTGGCCCGGAGTCACAGAGCCTGAAAACACGGGGAAGTCGGGGCGCAGACGCGCATCCCACTTACTCGTTGGAGGCGAAGCGAATTCCACTCAGTTGCATGTGATTCAACGAACATGCACAGATTGACTTCTCTGGAAGGATGCTGAGACTTTGTTTAAAAATAAGGAAAGATTTCTCTTTTAAAACCAGGGTCACAGGCGCTGGGCCCGACAGAAGGAAGGGTTTGCTCAGTGCAGAAACGGGGCGCATCTGTGGGGTCAGAGGCCATTTCGGGGGCGGCAGGAGAGCCGGGTGGGGGTGGGGAGGTGTTTCCGGGTGTCTGGATATCGGCCAATGGTTGCTGCGGCCGTCGGAGCCCCAGGTGACCAGAGCTAAAACGCTCAGTGCTCGTGGGGCAGGGGGTGGAGGGGGGAGAAACACTGCCGGGGGCATTTGGGATGCGGGAGGGACCAGGGGCCCCTCCCTGGCTGGGGTCAGGGGCCTAGTGCGGTGGGGTGACGTGGGCCAGGAGGGGGAACGGAGGAGAAGGGTTTGTGAGGGAGAGAATAGCCTCATTTCAGCACCAGACCGAGTCACAGCCCGTGGGATGAGACGGAACCTTCCAAAACTGCTGTTTTGCCCATGAAATGGGTGGAGTAGTGGCTGTGTTCCTGTGATTCGATCTAGTGGTTTCTTTCTTTTTTTTTTTAAGATTTTATTTATTTTTAGAGAGGGAAGGGAGTGAGAGAGAGAGAGGGAGAGAAACATCAATGTGCTGTTGCTGGGGGCCATGGCCTGCAACCCAGGCATGTGCCCTGACTGGGAATGGAACCTGCGACACTTTGGTTTGCAGCCTGAGCTGAATCCACTGAGCTACGCCAGCCAGGGCTTGATCTGGTAGTTTCTTAAGCTTGGCCCAGACACAGGTCACTCCACGTAACTCAGTGACCCACGAGTCAGGTGTCAGTGTCCCTGCATCACAGGCCGGGTCGGGGGGCAGCAGCTCGGGGAGGTCGAGGACTTGCCCCGTGGGCAGCCGGAGGCAGAGCTGGAACTCAGCTGCCCTGACAGCTGTCTCTCTCCTGCCCACGCGCTCCTCGACCCCCCGCCCCCCACCCCAGAGCTGTCGGTCAGGGAGCAGCAGGCGGTCTCGGCGAAGGACCAGGTACTCCGGGCTTTGCGGGCCGGCCGGTTTCAGCCACCATCGCCGGGCTCGGTGTCCGGGACGAAGGCAGCCGCAGGCGGCACAGCAGTGAGCGGGTGTGGACGGGCCCGGGCCGGGGACACTCTGTTTGTGGGGCCTGACGTTCCGATCCCATGTCACTTTCACGTGTCACGAAGTACTCTTCTTCCGAGAGTTCTCATTCACGGAAAGACTCATAAAGCATTCTTCCTCGGCGGGTCCCAGGGGCTCACGGAGTGTCGTCTGCCAGTGCGACACGGGACGGAAAACCGAGGGGCCCGGCTGGGACCTGTGAGTGTGGATGAGGAGGGGCGGGCGAGAGGCGGGATCGCACTTCGTGGGGGCGGCCGGTCCAGGCCAGGCCTTCCACCCGGAAACGCCGTTTGGGCCCCGACGGGTCATCGAGGCCTCACAGTCGCCTGTTCCGTTTATTTTGGCCGCTAGAGAGCTTCCCCCTGAAGGGTGACTCGGCCACCGGAAGCCGCTCAAATAAACCCATCGATCCGCGTCCTATGGACTGCAGACGGGTCCACTGGGCAGAGTCCCGCCCCTTATGTGCGCCCCCCCCCATTCTGGTTGTTGGCGTCGCTTAAATCACGTGTCTGGAGATGTACTAGAATGTTCCTTTCTTTCCCGTGCAGGTAGAAAATACGACGGCCAACAAGTTCAACACCACGGTCAGCGACACGTCTCGGTACTGCGTCGTGGTGAGAGCCGCCGTGAGCCCCACGTGCAGGCAGCAGGGGCTCTGGAGCGCCTGGAGCCAGCCGGTCGGCACCGGTGAGTGTCCGGGGGTCCAGCGGTCCAGCGTCCATCGCCCAGGAGCCCATGCCTGGGGGAGGCAGGCCACCCTGGAGCGTGCGCATTCACACGTGGGCGTCGGGACTCCGTCCCGGGTCCCCGGTGCCCCGTCTGCTGCCGGTTCGCCACCGCCTCCGGGACCAGAGGTGGGCTGACCCCGAGGCCCCTGACTCTCAAGGGTTCCAGCTTCTTGCCAGCGCCAGCTTTCCCAAAACCTTGTACCTGTTTTCTTTTCCAGATTATCTGATTCTACTTCTATCCTGGGTTTTTTTTTTGTATTTTCTTTCTTTTTTTTTTAAAGATTTTATTTATTTATTTTTAGAGAGGGAAGGGAGGGAGATAGAGAGAGAGAAACATCAATGTGCAGTTGCTGGGGGTCGTGGCCTGCAACCCAGGCATGTGCCCTGACTGGGAATCGAACCTGCGACGCTTTGGTTCACAGCCCGCGCTCAATCCACTGAGCCAGGCCAGCCAGGGCCTTCTATCCTATTTTTCATAACTGGATTTTTCGTTTGGGGAAAACCGTAGGTTCACGTGCGCATATGTCGTCAGACCTAAGGCGCAGCGAGCTGGAGAAGCTTGCGTCCGGGCTGGGCTGGGTCACGGGAAGGAGTCACCTCTCCCGTCACCGCCCCAGGGGGCTGAGCGGTGGCCGGAGTACCGGGCTTTCCGCCCGACTAGCCGGTCCCCCTCCCCGCCCGGGGTCCCCATTTCCTGGTCCCCGAGCTCCTCCTGCCTCTGCCGTCCCTGCCGTTTCTCGTGCCGTCAGCCCCCGGAAAACACTCAGGGAGAGAACCGGGGACCCACAGAGAGAGTCCAGGCCAGTTTGGCTTTTAGCTTCTCACCCTCCAGGGAAGCGCTGGTCGGGACCTGGGCTCCGGAGGGTCTGCCCCAGGGGCAGGGGCGCTCGCCGCCGTCATTTGGGGCAGAGTCCACTTTCTTATGAAAATGAGCTGGTCGGTCGTGCTGCTCACCTCCTCGGTCCGTCGCACTGGGACCCACTTCCCCGCTGGGCGTGGGTCGTTGGAGACCGTGACCAGTGCCGTCGTGGCATTTTCACCCCAGTGACCGGCAAACACCGTGGGCCGTCCGGCCCCTCCGGGACCCTGGGCGGGACTCTCCTTCCCCCGAGGGGCAGCGGTCAGGCCGCCCAGCTCGCAGTCCTGCAGGTGACTTCCCTGCCACGGCCATTGCCTGCCACAGCCTCGGTCCTCTGCCTCCCTGCCCTGTCGATGGCACCTGGGAGCCTCCCCTTCCTTCCACTCTCACGCCAGCCCCCCGGCTCGGCCCTCGCCTCTTTCTGGGACATCATCGAGTCCTCCTCCTCTATTTCGTGGTCGGGGAGTGGAGCCCCCGGGAGGCTGAAAAGTTCTGTGGTTCTCAAACAGGCTGTTCGAGGACGGCGTGTGTCTTTCTCCCGCAGGTGACCCACATGTCGGTCATTGGCGTGGAGCCGGCCCATCCTCGCCCAGGGCCTAGCGAGTGGGAGGGGCCTGTTCTGACGGATGAGGGACAAGGGGCCGGAGGGGCCGGGGCTGCAGCCTGGCCGGGGCGGGCACGGTGCCCAGCGGTCAGGGGGCGAGAGGACCACACCAGGGAGTGGGGGGGGGGTGGATAGCCAGCCGCCTGTGCTCCCCGCCTGCCTGAGACTCGGCCATGGTTGTGTCCGCTGGCGCTGGGGAGCCCAGAGGGGGGGGCAGATGTACTTTTTAAAAACAGAACAAGTGGTTTCATGCTATCAGTGCCCCTTATCACCTGCCCTTCCTCAACCGGCTTCTGGGCCTTATCTCAAGAGCTGACTTCCCGCTTTCCGCGTCCTCCTCTTTGCTGAACTTTCTTAACTTCCACGTTCTGCTGCTCGCTTACTGTTTGGGCCTCTCCTGTTTACCGGCGCCCGCGCCCCAGGGAAGCCCGACGCCATGCGCGAAGCACGCGAGCGTGGGAGCAGAACTTCCCGCTGCCCCGTCCTTCCCCGCTCCCGGGGGAGTGTCCCGGGTGTCCCCTGCGCTCGTTGCTGGCCGCGTCGTGGGTCTGGCTCAGTCCCTCTGAGGCCTGCCTCTCGTTGACCGGGCTCAGCCATGGCCACAGGCCTCGTCTGTCCCCCCAGGGCTCTGCCCCCGGCACGGAAGGCCAGGGTCTCAGCGACGCAGAGCAGGTGCCAGTGAGACCATCTGGTTCAGGGAGGTTTAGGCCGAGACACGCACCCGTGGCACCGGGCTCGCCACCACGGTCAGGCGGCTCGGCATGCGGGCGAGGCCCACAGGGCGCCTGCCGCCTTCGGGGGCATGTCCTTCCACGGCAGGGACCTCCTGCGAGCGGGGTGAGGCCGGAGCCGGGGGCCTGGAGGCTTTGGGCTGGGAGGTGAGAGAGGCCCCATCAAGGCCGGTGAACGGGCGGTGCTGCCGGCCTCCCTCCAGCTTGGCGTGCATGGCTGTGGCCGTGAGGAAACCCGGCCCCTCGGCCCCGGGCACCTGAGTCGGAGCCTGTGGGGCTGGACCCACCTGGGGGACCTCTACCTGGTCGCCTCCACCTATGTGTCGGGGGTGGGGGTAGGGTCCCCCCGGCCCCTAGCGTCAGCCCTGCCCTCTGGTTCCCTTGCCAGCTCCTTCTTTCCCTTTTTTCTCCTGCTGCCCGGAGGGGCGGGGCATGACCTAGGGCCCAGTGGCTGGGCAGGGACTCGGCCTTGGACGGGGTGGGGTCCAGGCCCCGTCTTTTCCCTCTCGACCCCATCCCAGTGCCCACCCATGCTCCCGCTCGCCTTCCCGGGGTTAGGAAACAGGAGAAGTTTCCTGAGTCCAATGCCGAAATCGGCGGGCACCGAAGTCACCAGAAACACCGGCACCGTCGGCCCAGCGCCCGGGACGGACGGAGGGAGGGAGGGAGGGGGTCCAGAGGGCCCCGTCCGAGGGGGCCCGGCCGGGTGACTTCCCCTTTGTGGGGCTCGTCTCTGCGCGACCACAGAGCGGTGCCCGCCGGTTTCCTGAAAAGAAAAAAAAAATCTTTGAGTTTCTCCTTGAGTCAGAGATAAAGTTCAGGTTATCTGGAAATACTCGTTCTTAAGAAATCCCCGGAGGCCAGAGACTCCAGAATTCAAACTAATGACCTTTTCAGGACCGTTGGATGGAATGACACGCTCATCATTTCCACCCGCAGGACACGCGTGGTCGGTGGGGGGGCCGTCCCCCTCTCTTCTGGGTCCCCACAGTCGGAGGAAGCACTGACTTCAGTTCACTCGCTCCTGTCGCCGGCCCTTGGGCCCCTGCACTGATGAGTAACTGAGCAGCGGGGGGCCCGGGGTCACTCCCACTCGGTGCTGAGCCCCTGGTGGCTTCGTCTGGTCTCACAGGCCTGGGCGTGTTTCCTTCGCGGTCAGCTGACCTCGGCCCCCTTCTCCGGGGTCCTCGGCCCTGGCACACCACAGACGCCTGGCGGGAAAAATGACCGCCTGGCCCGCTCCCTCTGGGCAGTGACCCTGACTTTGAACCCGAGCGCGCCCTGCGTGCGCCAGTGCCTTTGTGGGAACTGAGAATTACACTCGGGCGCCTCTCTGCTCCTGCGAACTCCGCGAGAACCTCCGCTTAGGGCCGGGGGCGCCGGAGGGAGCAGCCGCAGGGTGGTTTAACCGAAGAGATTTTTGTCATCACGGCGCGAGCCGACGGGCCGTTATCAGGCGCCGGCACCCCGGCCGGGGCGTTGCACCACGTGAGATGCAGCGGGGCGAGTGTGCCCCCCCCCGATAGTGTTTACACACGGCCGCTGCTTCCTGCAGACCCACACGTGCCCCCGGGGGAAACGGGACTTTCCCCTCGTGGGGCTGGCGCTCGGGGTGCTGGAGTCCGGAGTTTCTGGGTGTTCTTCCCAGGGGGCTGGCATCAAGGCTGAGCATGGGGGCGCCGAGCCTTGGGCACCACGGAGAAGTGGAGCCGGAGGGGGGGGCCCTGATTTGGGGAGCTCCCCTGGGATGGAAGGCCAGTGGGTGCTGAAGGCGGCGGCACTCGCTCTTCCCCATGGGTAAGTGACACTGGGTGTCAGCTCTGAGCATGTGGGGTGACAACTGGGTCTGGTGGGGCCCTGGGTCCCACCCGAGAGCCTGCTGTTGACCCTTCAGCCGCCTGTGCGGCCGGGACGTCGGAAGGTGTGACTCTTCCAGGCCCTTTGTTCCGTGACTGACGAGGCGTGGCTCTGGCTGTGTGTAAAATAGCAGATGGAAATTAAAGTTTCTCCAACACTAGGCCACAGGGTTTTAATAAAGGGACTCATTCCCACCCAGAGCCTACGGAGCACCCGCCGAATCGCTAGTGTGTGTGGGTCAGCCTGGTTCACACGGAGACGCGGCCGCAAACCCAGCCCTGTCGGGGAGTGGGGACACGCAGCCGCGAGTGTGTCCAGCCGGACAGGGGACGCGCAGGAGGGTGTTTGGTGACCAAGAAGTGCTTGGGGTGGGCTCGGGGGCGTGCCTGCCTGTGCAGCGGGCCCTGGGGTGGGGGACGGTGGTGATCAGTTTGGTCTGCACGCCCCACCCCCGCCGGTTCCCTGAGGAGGCCGCGCCCACCCCGCCACCGCAGAGAGACCACGCCCACCCCCCTGCAGAGAGGCCACGCCCACTCCCTAGTGTTGCAGGGAGAGACCACGCCCACCCCTGCAGAGAGGCCACGCCCACTCCCCCGTGTTGCAGGGAGAGGCCACGCCTACCCCGTTGGGGGGCCGCGGGAGTTGCGCGGAGAACCTGCGGCCCTTACGCCCTTTGCAGAGTGTCCAGTCGGTAGTCGCGAGCATCGCGGCCGGGGGCGTGTGGTCACAGGTTGGGAAAGAAGCTGCTTCCGTTACCGGCGAGCGTTAGGCTCACCGCGACTCGCGTGCACGGCCAGCCTCGCGCGCACTGCCCGCCTGAGGTTGGGTTTGTTCAGGATGAGCGTCCGCAAAGACGCGGGACGCGGTGGCGCTGGGCGCGGAGGGCCCTGTTTTCCCAGGCGAGGGGCCGAGGCCGCGTCCCCGCGAGCTGCGGGCAGGGCACGGGTGCAGACCAGGCAGGGGTCCCCGCATTTAGGACGGGGCACGTTGTCGGGGGGGAAGTCCACGAGGTCCCCACTCGGGAGGGCAGCGCGCTGCTGCCCGCCCCGCCCATTGCGCCCCCCGCAGCGGGGCTCAGCTCTGTTTCTCTCCGTCTTCGCCCTCCAGGACAGGACGAGCAGAAGCCATGGACCGAGTGGCTGCTGATCCCGCTCACGGCGTCCCTCTGCGCCGCGTTCGTCTGCTCGCTCAGCCGCAGGACGTAGGTGTTCTCCACGCCGGGGCTTCCCCGGGCGGAGCGTCGGCTCCTGCTCTCTGGACGAGTCGGTGGGGGGCTTGTTCTCGGGTGGCGCCCACGGCTCGGGCTCAAGGAAGGCGGCGCGGGGCTGGGAGCACTGTAGTCCCGCCCCCGTGCGACCCGGGCCGCCATCAGCGGTCCCCGAGTGGCTGGCTGGCTGTTCTTAGGTCAGACATGTGCTGGACATGACACGCTGATCTGCTGGCCCCCCCCGCCCCCCGCCCCAGGGACCACAAACGGCCCTGTGAGAACGCCTCAGCCATTCTGGCATTCAGTCCCCAGCGCGCTGTGCGGGAGGCCCCGCAGCCTGGTCCGGCCTGGCCCTGGCCCAGGAGAGCCTTTGGAACAGCCTCACTATTACAAATGTGTATTCCAGTGGCACCCTGGGGTGGGGTGGGGGTTGGGGGGGTGTGGCATCTCAAAGGAGAGGAGAGAAGTCCCGTGGGCCCGCACCGTGGGGGGAGGGCGCTGACCTCACCCACACCACACGGGACCTGGGTCTCGTGTTTGCAGAGATCAGGCCGGTAACGTGTGCTGTTGTGAGCGGCTACCCTCTGTCTCTCCGGGAGGTTCGGGCCTCACCAGAGCCCCGCGGTGCCCCCCGCCCCCCGGGCCAGCGACCACGATGACCGTGTAGTTGTTTCTTGGAGGTGTTAGCCCTGGTGTTAACGAGGCCAATTTTCAGCGGGACGTTAAGGACCTGATTCCCCCGCTGCTCTGGTTTCAGGGGACACGTGTGCACCAAGCTGTTCCCACCGGTTCCGGGCCCCAAGAGTGACATCGGCGATCTCGTGGCCACCGTGAACTACGAGGTAATGCTGGTGGTTCTCGGCGTGTGTCCTGCCCGCCCAGGGTGGGGGTTTCTCCCGACGTGCTCATTCTGGGGCCCTTTGCACAGGTCCGAGCGCTCGGGCTTCCCCGGACGCTGCTGACTCACCTCCGGCTGCTCCAGCAGCGCCACCTGTTGGAGGACATCACTTCCCCAGGGAGTCAGGCGACGTCTCTGTCCAAAGGCGGTTGTTGGCGTGTGTGTGGGGGGGGACCTCTTTCTGGACCATCTGTGTGGCCTCCCTGATCTGTTCGAGCATCTTTGTGCCGGTGCAACGCTGTCTTTACCCGTAGGACTTTATTCTGAACCCGCAGACCAGCTCCCCTGGGGCCTCTGAGCACCCTTTTCTTCAGGGCCGATTTTCTTACTCCCGGTCGCTCTCACTCTGTGTGAGTGTTAGAACCAGCCTGTCGCTTCTGCAGAGAAGGCTCGGGGGGTCTGGACCAGAACCGCGTGGCGCTGCAGGTTAATTCGGGGAGAAGGGACGTCCCGGCACCACTGACGCTTCCGCTCTGTAAACACGGCACGGCGGCCTGTTTATGTGGGTTTTCTCTAACTCCTCCTGGCGCTGCTCGCTGGTTCTCAGCGGGTTCTCAGCGGCCCGTTGGGTGACACTGCTGTCGGAGCTGGCCTCACACGGGATGATGGTTCCTTAGACCAGGGGGCCACAAGCCCGTTCTATAAAGAGGCAGGCAGTAAGCACTCGAGGGCGAAGTGGTTCATCTCAACTGTCCCACGCTGCCCTTGTCCTGGGAGAGCAGCCGCAGACGACACGCACGTGGGGCCCCCGGTTCTGCGCCAGCGAAGCTTCATCGCACAGGCAGACGGCCGGGCAGCGCTGTTGCGCCCACTGGGGTTTGTGGACCTCTGTTGCAGCTCAGGCGATGTTCTCAACAAGTCGTTTTCCCTCTGACATAGCCATTGGAGGCACCAGCTGGTGCCTCTTGTAGGGACAGCCAGGGGACAATCGGGCAGTCACCAAGTGAGCCATTTCAATAAGCTGGGACCCTGGGGGAGCAAGAATCCCCCACGCAAGGCCCCGTCTTGGTGGCCAGGGGAGCGGCCTGTGCTCTCGTGGCCTCAGCTTCTGTGGAGGGATGGTGGGCCCCAGGGGGGCCCCTCAAGGCCCCTCGGAGCTGTGCCGTCCCTGCGCCCTCCCGGTGGCATCGTGGCCCTGAGAAGCTGGCTGGAGCCTGTGGCCCGGCCTCCTCGTGGGGCAGCTTATCTGGCATCTGACTTCCCGGCAAAGCCCCAAAGCCTGCCTTTTGTCCCCGAGGCTGCCGGAGGAGACCGGCTGAAAGCTTGTCGTTCACTGAAATCAAGTCGTGTGTGTGACAAGGCGGGGCAGACCGGCGGGTTTTGGAACGAGTGAAGATGAACGGCGGAGCTCAGCACGCCGGGCTGCTCGGGCACTCGCTGTCCCTTCTCACGTCGCAGAGTCATCCGGAAACGAGGGGGGGCCCCAGCTGGCGCGGCTCCGTGGACTGAGCGCCGGCCTGCAAACCGAGGGGTCGCTGGTTTGAGTCCCAGTCGGGGCACAGGCCTGGGTTGCGGGCCAGGTCCCCATCAGGGGGCGCGTGAGAGGCAACCACACACGGATGTTTCTCTCCCTTTCTCCCTCCCCTTCTCTCTAAAAGTAAATAAAATCTTTAAAAAAGAGTAAGAGACAGAGGGCGGGAGAGAGCGGAGAGAGGGAGCACAGGTAGAGCTGGGAAAAGGCGGCACTCGGACTCTACCGCCAAACGCAAACCCGTCTGGTTTGCTCCTGGGACCTCTGCTGCCAGGGTGACGGGGGGCCTGGGAGTGTGGGGTCCGCAGACCCTGGGACACGTTCGGCTGGTGGAAAGGAAGCCCCTGGCCTGTGGTCACGACACGAGCCCCTGAGCGTGGCCGGTCCCCCGGGCCCGGGACTGGGGCAGCGGCCGCACCCCGGTATGCACAGGGCCGCCCTCAGCACCGTTTTCCTCGTTCAGACCCGAGGTAGACACTGACACCCCAAGGACAGACACGGGGGTGGGGTGGGGTGGGGGGAGGGGTGAGAGAGGGATCAGGTGGCCTTTGGCAATAGAAAACAAGGGCTTATTGTTAAAGAAAAAAGAAGAAGAATAAGCTTATTCTGAGCTTTCAGTTTGCTGGAGACGGGTCTCCAGACATATCCTTGGTTTCCGAGAGCAGAGCCAGAGGGCGCTCCTTCCCACGGGGCACGGGGCGGAGGGGCGGCGGTGGGTGGGGCCCGGCCCGGCCGGTGCACAGCCCTGTTCAGGCAGACGTGAATGAGGTGTGACAGACACGGTCTCTTACAGGCCGTGTTACTTTTTTTTTAACTTAATTTTTTTTCTTTTTTGTAAGATTTTATTTATTTATTTTTAGAGGGGGAAGGGAGGGAGAAAGAGAGAGAGAAACATCAATGTGCGGTTGCTGGGGGCCGTGGCCTGAAACCCAGGCATGTGCCCTGACTGGGAATCGAACCTGCGACACTTTGGTTCGCAGCCCGCGCTCAGTCCACTGAGCTACGCCAGCCAGGGCGGGCTGTGTTACTTTTTCCCGCCGTTTTTCTGATTCACATCGGGACTGTTCGTAATCACCAGAACGGACACAGCAAGCGTGCGCTGTGGGCAGAATGTGACAGAGCCGTTAAAGAGGCTGTGGCCAAGGCACATATAATGAAGAGTAACATATTACGTGATATGACAGGGAAAGACATCAGTTCACGAAGCCGTTGACCCACTGGACTTGGTGTAACTGTAAAAGAGATCATACGCAGAAACCAGGGGCTGAGGAGAAACTGTGGGCTGTGTTGGGGGGGAGGGTTTATGTGTATTTTTTGTCTTCTTTCTACTTAATTTGCCACATTGTCTTCCGTGAACGTTGACTGCTTTTAGAAGCAAAACAGACTGAAAGCAATTGTAGCGGACAACCAAGAAGCTCTGTGGAAGGCCGCTCAGGGGAGATGCTTTGTTTTGCAGAAAGGCGGTTCCGGCGAAACAGAGAGCGAAGTCATCAGCTACGTGGATGAGGAGCCCGAGGTCCTGGAAGACTTGGTGTTCTGATCGGGGCGCAGGCGCGGGCGCACCCGCCCCGGGAGAGAAGGGCGAGAGCGATCTCTCCGGGCTGCGCGGAGACCAGAACTCACCGAGCCTCGCACAGCCGTGGCCGTGCACCCAGACGCAGCTCTTAAAACTGTGGTTGCTGCACCCAGACCTCCTCCCGCCCTTGGGGGGCCCCAGGGGATGAAGAGGACCCCCTGTGGGTGGGATCAGTAAACCCCAGCGCACTTACTGGTCAGGGGGGAGCCGGGTCTCCGGAAGAGAGAGCGGAACCGAGAACGCCCCCCGGAGGCCCACGAGGGTGGCGGACTGTCCCCGCTTCCGGCGCCGAGGATGAGGTTCGGGGCCCTGACCCGGTGGAAACTGCCCCGCCCTGTGTGAACATCACGCCGCACTAAAAGGTGGTCTTGTTGCCCCCCACCCCCTGCCCGTTTCAGGTAACAGACGTGCGTGTGGGTGCAGGTGGGATGACAGGTGTTAATAGGAGCGGCCGAGAGCGGTCTGCGTCTGCACCCTGAACAGCTCATGTCTCATCCCCCCAAATGTCCCCTGGCCCCTCGACTCTGGTCCTCGTCTCTCAGCCAGGGCCCTCCGGCAGCCCCTCAGCTCAACCCCTCACCTCCTGTACCCCCTTTTTCTGAAGCATCTGTAAAAGGCACATGTGCCAGTCACCCCACATCCAAAACTTGCCTTGACCCCGTCCCCTTCAGGTTCAAGGCCCTTCGGAAACACTGGCCCCTTTTTCCAGCGTGTTAGCGGCGCCCCGACCGCATTCCCAAGGACGGCCCGGTCCTCGCGCTCCTGGTCCATCCCGAACACCTCCGTGCCTGCTCCCTCGGGGGCGGTGGGTGGGGTGGGGGGGGAGCTGTTCACTCTCTGCATCTCGTGGGCATTTTACCTGCTGAGTCCCCGCTCTCTGCCACCAGGAAGTCTCCCCCTCCGTTCCCGGTCCTTTCTCTTTGAGTCCGCTCCCTCACTCACTGTGCTATTCACGTTATTGACACCCCCTCCCTTATTTAAAGTGTAAGACACTCAGGGCTGACAACAGTGTCCCGCCGCTCTTTGTGGGTCTAACCCCCGAGTGGGAGCTGGTCGGTCTCAGCCGGGCAGTGAGAGCGGAGGTGAGTTTCTTAAACGGGCACCGGACTAGACAGCCAGACCCGGCCGCGGGTCTGGAGAGCTGCGTGCCCGTGGCGGACCCACTCACCAGCACTGGGGGGATGGCGCAACCGACACCACGACAGAGACAGGGACTCACGGTTGGCGCGGCTCTGCTCCGGCACCCGGCAGCCCCGGGCTCCAGGTGAATGAGATGCCGGCACCCGCCGGCTCTCAGGGGGTCCCCGCCCGTGTACGCCCTGTCCGAGTTCCCTCGAGTCTTCACCGCGAAGGTGCGTTACCAGGTTGTCTCATTCATGAAGATGAGCAGCGAAGGCGGGCCCCTGCCCGGGGAGGAAGGGAAGGAGCGTTCGGCTGGTGGTGGTGGTTGGGGAATTGCTGGGGGCATAGTTCAAGGTCGGCAAGCTTCTTAAAGGGATAGGGTGTAAGTATTTTCAGCAGCGAGAGCATCCGGTCTCTGCTGTGGCTGTGTTCCAATAAATCTTTATTTATAAAGAACAGATGATGAGCCAGATGCATGGAGTATAGTATAGTTATACTATAAAAGCTTTTTAAAAGATTTTATTTATTTTTTAGAGAGGGGAAGAGAGGGAGAAAGAGAGGGAGAGAAATAGCAATATATAGTTGCCTCTTGTGTGCCCCCCACTGGGGACTTGGCCTGCAACCCAGGCCTGTGCCCTGACTGGGAATCGAACCTGCGACCTTTTGATTTTCAGGCCAGCACTCAGTCCACTGAGCCACACCAGCCAGGGGTGGAAGCCTTTTTTGCAATGTGAAATCCAAGTTTAACTGCATTCAGCTGTGCATTCAGGCCCCACAGACCCTGTCCCAGGTAGCGAGCGCCGCGCCCAGCGGGCAGACCCAGAATCACACGCTCCTCCCCCGAGGGAGGCCGGCTGCCTGGGGGAGCCCCACTGCGTGTCCCTTGTATGGGAGTCCTGTCGGGGACGTCCAGAGACGGGTGGTAAATCCTTGATTTTAACAGGCTAACTCCTCAAATCACACGGTCGGCCAGAAAGTGCGTTTAGTTTTTTCCGTGCGGCGGCTCCGGCGGCCCTTGGTCATCTGTAACTTCACTCGAAACAGCTCTGTCAGGTTGTGTCGTGATGGCTGTCCCATCAGCTGTGCGCTTAAAAAACTTACCAGAACTCGTGCACTTTCGTGCAGCTATTTCCTTATTGAAGATGGAAGAAAATAGGCAACGTTTTCGGCATATTACGCTTTATTATTTCGAGGAAGGTAAAGGTTCAACTGAAACGCAAAGAAGGGTTTGTGCGGTGCGGGGAGAAGGGGCTGTGGCTGACCGAGCGCATCAGGAGTGGACTGCGCAGCCCCGTGCTGGAGGTTTCCTCGCTGGGCGGAGCTCCGCCAGGTCGGGCAGACCAGGTGAGGTGGTCAGCGGCCAGATCCAGACACCACCTGAGAACAGTCCACGTGCTGCCAGGCGGGAGGGAGGTCGCCGCCAGAGTCAAAGTCTCCGAATCAATAGAGTCGTCGGTGAAAAGGAAAAGCGTGCGTTTCATTTCACGGAAAAAACTGAGCGCACTTTTTGGCCGACCCACTAACTGTAACCAGGGGGAGGACACGCCCCGTTCTTGCTGGTCTGCCACGACGGAGAACAGCGCCCCCCGCAGGGCAGCGGTGTGTCAGCCTGGCGCGCCGGCTGGCCGCCGCGTCACCTTGGAAACGACTCCGCGGCAGCAGCCGGCCTGCGCTGTTTGCGGACTTCTGGTGACGCAGCGTTCTCCCAGCACGCCTGCGCCGAGGCAGGCGCGGCGGGGGCCCCGGGGGGTCAGTGGGGGCTACCAACGCTTCCCAGATGCCGGTAGCCACGCATTTGACCGCGGGAACCACGCGATCGCGCGCTTTAAGGTGGAAGCTCGGGGCAGTTCCCTCGTCACCGGCTGGGGGCGCTCTGCGCTCACCTGGAAACGAAGGGCCTCACCTGCACCTTCTGCTCCTGGGCGCGTGAGCCAGGGCGCACGAGGCGCTGCTGCTGTCTCGACTGGGACCCCGAGGCAGAGGACCCAGTCCCGAGGCAGAGGACCCAGTCACCGCAGAGCAGACTCTCCTGCTGCGCAGTCACTCCGCCGGGCGCGCAGGCCACGCAGGGCTGGGGGTGGGTGGGCACCCGACCAGGTGGAACAAGGCAAGGGGCCCCTTCGAGTCACATCACAGGCCGCCCGAGCCCACCCCGAGCCCCGGCCGGAGCTCGGGCTTAGCAAGTGTGTCGCCTGGACTTTCCCAGTGGCCGCTCCCACCTTCCGGAAACAGCGTCTCAATTCTCCTCTGGCCAATGACCCCTCCCCTGGGAACGCAGGCTGGGCGTCTCCGCGGGACTCAGCCGTGTGACGCAAAATGGGCCGAGCCCATCTCTCCTGGGAATGTGGGTCCTGAGCAGAGTGGCATCGAAGCTGGAAACAGCCGGTTTATCCCCACCACAGCACCCACAAGACCCTGGAAAGGCTGTCCCAAGTCCCCGCGCCTGCACCCTCAGAGAGGCCCGGGCTGTATTCCCTCTCTCGCCCGGGCTCTCGTTGACTCAGCACGTGGTCGGACCTGCGTCAATCTTCACGCTGGCTGGAGTCGGCTGGGGCTGCTCACCGGGAACCCACCGGCTCCGGCCGGGCAGCCGTGGGGCTGCTGGGCCCCCGGGGCACTTTCTAAAGCGTCTCCAGCCTCGGCCGCTAACCCAGGGCCCCAGGTATCGGATCTCGGAGTGAGAGATGCGAGGCCCTTCCAAGCCCCGCAGTGAGGAAGGAGCCAGGCCTCCTACGGCCCCGCCACTGCACCGAGGGCGCCGCCGTGGGCTTCCCCGGCTGGTGCGCACTGTCCGGCCACTGAGGCCAAGTGCTACGTCAGAGACCCTTCCCACCGATCCATCAACGAGTATTTATTGCAAGGCACGGGGCTAGGCGCTGCGGAGCGTACATGGAAGACAGACCGCCGCCCCTGCCCCCGGGGAGCTCACAACCTAGTGGGGAGACGTGGCGAACACACCGGACGGGGCGGGGAGGGGGCAGTCCCGACACAGGCGCTGAGTGAGAACGGGAGGCAGCAGCGTATCGGAGCCTCCCCACGGCCACACCTGACGCTGCCCGCCCGGCGTGGGGCTGACGGGGCTGGTGGCTGGTTCAGAGGGGGTACCGAGTGCGGGAAGGCCTCATGGCCGAGGACCCTCGGAATTTGGGGGCATGGGAGGGTTGTTGCAGGAAGGGGCCGCCGTGTGACCCAAAGGCACAGAGGCGGGGCAGGAAGCAGAGGCGGGGCAGGCAGCAAGCTGTGTTAGCGGGCCAGGGAGGGCTCTGCGTGGCTGGGGACCAGGCTCACTTGCTCATCGATTTAAAGGGGCCTCACACGCTCACACTTGGATTTTATCCTTTTCACAACGGGGGTGGGGGACACCCTCGGGCAGCAGGTGTCCTTAGATCGGATACCCGAGGGACCGAGCTCGCCAAGGGGAAGGGTTCAAGGTCCATCTTCAGGGCATTTAGTCGTGGATCTGACACCATGTCTGTGGGGTCGTCTCCGGGGTGAGGGGACAGCTCGGGGCCATTGGGCCTTGGGTCCAGGCCCGAGCCGTGGGAGCCCTTCTCGGGTCTCACGGTCCCACGTCGTCACCAGCACGAGGGGGAGCGAACCGGCCCCCGGCCGGCAGGCCGGAAGAACGCTCCCGAAAGACACGTATCTTTACAAACGACAGAATATTTATTAACAACACCTGTAGAAAAAGGTTACATATGCTCGCTAGACCCCTGGGGGGTGTCCCCGACACTGGGCGGGGGCTGCCCAGGGGTCCTCGTTTCCACCCGCTGTACCATGTCATGGTGTGTGTGCGTGCACACGGGAGGGAGGGAGAGGTTTTAAATGTTTTTTTAACAGAGAAGCAACCACGTCAAACTGAGGACAGACTGCAGTTCGAAATGCTGGCGGCATTTTCCCTGCCGCCACCCTAGTCGCTGTGCACGTGGGATCCTGATTGTGAGTTCACTGGACACACGGAGCTCCAAGGTGGAGAAGGTGCCTTGGGTTGTGTGGCGGAAAAGGGACAGTCGCCGGCAGGCTGAGCCCCGAGGAAGCGGAAGGGCGGCCGCGTGGCCACGTGCGGAGACTCGTGTGGAAGACGCCGCGGCCTCTCAGGTCCTCCGGAGCCAGCTGCAGCGCCCCCCGCCCCCGCCGGCACCAACAGCACTTCCGTGGGAACGCGGCTCTGCTGATGTCACTGCTTCCCAACGTGGCATTTCTCAGACTTGGGAGGTAAAGCGTGTCAAGCGTCTAGGCTGCTGACGGCACAACGGGAGGCCCGCCAAGATGCCGTGCAGCGGCACCGAAGACCTTTTTTAGGGCCTGGGGACACATTCTCGGCAGCAGCTGCTCCCTGAAAGAGGGGCGATCTGCCCCACTCCGGGCGTGGTGTGGGCCCCCCAGAAGGGCTCTGTTATCCAAGAGACACACACACACACTCTACATAGGAGGGAATCCTGGAAAGAAACCATGAACCCGTGAACAGAGAACCACCCTTGCTTTAGAAAGGTACGCTCAAACAGATACATTTAAAGAGAGGAGAGTTACCTTTCAGCCCCTGAAAGACTCGGCTGACTAGAGCGACTTCCAGGCTGTGTCCCCACCGGGAGGAGCTCCCGGAGGGACGCCTGAGACCGGGCTGCCGTGGAGACGAGCTCACACACACTCGGCCGAG